TGGGAGAGATGAGGATTCCTGTGCCACCACCCCGCTGACCAGATGCTCTCGGGGTATGCGAGAACACATGGTCAGACGAAGAGAGAGCAGTAGGAGTAGCAGTGTTTTCAGTGGTAATCCATGTTTCCGTCAGCGCCAAGAAGTCGAGGGACTGGAGGGTAGCATAGGCTGAGATGAACTCTGCCTTGTTGGCAGCAGAACGGCAGTTCCAGAGGCTGCCTGAGACCTGGAACTCCACTTGGGTGGTGCGTGCAGGGACCACCAGGTTAGAGAGGCAGCAGCCACGCGGTGTGAGGCGTTTGTGTAGCCTGTGCGGAGAGGAGAGAACAGGGATAGGCAGAGGCATAGTTGACAGGCTGCAGCAGATGGCTACAATAATGCAGAGGAGATCGGAATGAAATGAACTAAACATCTGGGAAAGGAGAGAGCGGGGCCTCCCTCACCACAACTCCCAAATATAACTCTCCCAACTTCCACCTCAGAAACTATAATTGTTGTAAACTACAGCGGTTCAATGTTTTCTAGGAATAGACTAACTTAGTTTATTCAGCTAGCTAACTAGGTACAGTATTATTCTGTGAAAATCGTCCAGGCACTTAGTCATAAGACGCCACAGCCAGCTAGCATGCCGGACTCCAACAACACGGTTTAGCGCCAATACTCGGCCACAACAAACCACCAGTGTATCAACACGCAAGCAGATCGTTCGTGTCCGTGTCTAACGTTGTGGGTTAGTCCCGACAGCTTGAGCGAGTCCGTCGTCAACTTATTCAGCCAGTTAGTTAGCTAGAATAGTTAGCAAACTAGCTAGCCATTGCTTTCAGACAAAGAAGAACCCCTCCTTTCACGGCACGAACACACAGAGAGTGCCAAACTAACGTTAACTAGTCACCCATGTCCCGAATTCCTTGAACGACTCGGGCTATCAATATGTAAAAAACAAAACACAAATGTAGGTTATGACTTACCCCTAGCAGCTACTGTTAGCTAGCCAAGTGCAAAGCTAGCCACTGAATTGACTCAGCCAGTTCGCGTCTGTTCGCTCGGTCGTTCCAGCTATTGTTTACTAGTAGCTATCCAGGTAGCAACAAGCTAGCTAAATTTCAAGCACAGTAGCCACTTGCTACCTAACGTTAACGGTTCAGACAATGAGGTTAGAAAACAGCTGAATGGTAGGCAATTATTGTATGTAATTATTGTAGGCAGCCAGCTGGCGTAATTACAGGCACTCTCAGGCGTGAAACAACTATACCGTTGCTAATAGCTACTCGCCAGCTAGTCCAGGTGGTGGGTTAGCTAGCTAGCTTCGTGCTACACCGTGCATAGCCGAATACAATACTAACCTACAATAATTACATACAACAACCCACGATAACTACCTACAATACCTAACTACAATCTAAATACATAGTTTAAGCCTTACTCGACAAAGCCCAAGCTATGTATAAAGCCAAGCTTACCCGACGCCAAGCTTACCCGACGACCTCGAGACAGGTCTAGATGTGTGGGCTTGTCCTTGGTGCTCTTAACAGGACCATTTCAGGTTGTCTGTGTGAAGGGACCATTTCAGGTTGTCTGTGATGTGCACGCAGAGAAACTTTTGACCCTCTCCACTGCGGCCTCGTCGATGTGGATTGGGGCGTGCTCTCTCTGCTGTTCCCTGTAGTCCCGATCAGCTCCTTCGTTTTGTTGACGTTGAGGTTATCTTCCTGGCACCACTCCACCAGGGCTGTCACCTCCTCCCTGTAGGCTGTCTCACCGTTGTTGGTAGTCAGGCCTACCACTGTTGTGTCATCAGCAAACTTGATGATTGAGTTGGAGACGTGCGTGGCCATGCAGTCATGGGTGAACAGGGAGTACAGGAGCAGGCTGAGCATGCACTCCTGTGGGCCCCCCCGTGTTGAGGATCAGCGTGTCAGAGGTGTTGTTGCCTACCTTCACTAATTGGGGTCGGCCCATCAGGAAGTCCAGGATCCAGTTGCACAGGGAGTGGTTCAGACCCAGGGCCCTGAGCTTACTGATGAGCTTGGAGGGCACTATGGTGTTGAAGGCTGAGCTGTAGTTGATGAACAGCATTCTTACATAGGTATTTCTCTTGTCCAGGTGGGATAGGGCAGTGTGCAGTGCAATGGTGATTGCGTCGTCCGTGGATTTGTTGGGGCGATATGCGAATTGTAGTGGGTCTTGGGTGTGTCGGGTAAGGTGATATGGTCCTTAACTAGCCTCTCAAAAAACTTTATATTTCATCCTATGGTTGAGAGAGAGAGAGAGAGAGAGAGAGAGAGAACAAAACACTGAGTGTGCTCTTTCATGAACTGGACTGACCAGGTCAATCCAGGTGAACGCTATGATCCCTTATTGATGTCACCTGTTAAATCCACTTCATGTCTCAAGGCTTAAAAATCCTTCTTTAACCCGTCTCCTCCCCTTCATCTACACTGATTGGATTTTGCATGTGTGCCATTCAGAGGGTGAATGGGCAAGACAAAATATTTAAGTGCCTTTGAACGGGGTATGGTAGTAGGTGCCACGCGCACCGGTTTGAGTGTGTCAAGAACTGCAGTGCCCAGCAGTTTCCTGTGTGTATCAAGAATGGTCCACCACCCAAAGGCTATCCAGCCAACTTGACACAACTGTGGGAAGCATTGGAGTCAACATGGGCCAGAATCCCTGTGGAATGTTATCAACACTTTAGAATCCATGTCCCGATGAATTGAGGCTGTTCTGAGGGCAAAAGGGGGTGCAACTCAATAGTAGGAAGGTGTTCCGAATGTTTTGTACAGTCAGTGTACATACAGATAGACAGACAAGAGACAAAGAGAGGGGTGTGTTTGCCTCCATCTGCTGGCGAATGTACTGCTCATTCTTCATGCCCTTGCTAGCAATCCTCAAAACTAGTTTCATTTTCTATAGTTCATGCAAAGGCCTATGAATTGCCTAGGAGTACTGAGTTTCACTTACATATTTCCTTCACTTCCCCAAACTATTTGTTATTACAGTAGTCACTCACGTTATGTAGAAAGGAAACTTTTCCTGCAATTTCAGCGCATAGTCAGCAGGATTTTCTGTAAAAAAACACTACTGGATCTGGTTTATCTACAATAGCCTGTTGAATGACTGCTGTAGATGAAATTGAATACCTGCCCACGTCTTTGCAAACATCTGCTGGTCTTCTGCAGTGTTCAGTTGTTCACATAGTTATACTGTACTTGATTAACCGCTGGGAAATACAGTCAGTGAAATAAGGAAAAAGGGGTGAAAGGTCATATTATGTGAAAAATTCAGAAAGGTATTAGAGAAGGTCACCTGACAACCATTCAGCCTTCCCCTCGTCACGTGTCATTGTTCAAGTTAGGAACTTTTTCCCCCTCCCTTGGAAAACAAGACCAGCCCATGTTCTGCCTCTTGTACACTGCCATTGGACACTGCCGACAGTCTTATCACTCCGATAGGCCAGAATAGGGCTTCGATCAACCGAGTCGCAATTAAACCACACCCCCTTCTTTAAACTCGCTTTAGGAGTAATTGATATCTTCTCCAAAGTAAACGACTGGACTATTACCCGTTTCAAGAAATGATATACAAGTTTTGGGAACTAAAGAGACTCAAAGGTGAGTTAACATATAAACAGACAGAGTGAACGTCTTGGTTCAGTTCCCCGAACCACAGTATGTTAAACAGTTGGCCAAGTGATCTCGTAAGATCTATAATGTGACTGTTGTCAGTCAATGCTTTATTTATACCGCAAACGTCATCATGTTATTGCACTTTAGGCCGGTTTAGGCTGCATCGTCGATTATTCTTTGGACGTCCGTGTGTTGCTGTCATTCAATATCTCGTGTGTGTGTGTGTGTGTGTGCGCGCGCGCATATTTGTAGTACATACAGTGTGTGTGTGCGCGCATATTTGTAGTACATACAGTACCCAGCAATACAGACTACCTATTCAGCAACAGGTGGTAAGTGTTTGTACAGTCTGAGTCGTCTTGGAGGACAGATTGCATAATAATCTGACAGTTACTTTAGAATAACAATCAACAAGAAAGAGACGTCATCAATGATATACATATCCAGGGACAAGGCTTGCCAGACATTGGTCTAGTGTACATGGGGTCCACTGCCTGTAGGTGTGACAGTGTGAGGCCTAGACCAGAGTAGTGGGTACTGTCATGTGTTTTGATCCCCAGTTAGGAGCCTGGTGGTGGCAGGAGAAGGAATTTGTGAGGAGGACAGGTGTGCTGGCTAGGGCAAGACAGGGTGGGAAACACCCTACGTCGGTTTGTGGGAATTAGAAGGAGTAGGCCAACTAACCGTGCATGGAGTAATTTTGCTTAGTAATGCTAAATGTTAAGTCATTCTGATTCTGCATACTGCCAAGTCACTTGCCTGATGGCACAACCTGTTATTGTAGAGAGCAACAGACATATCTAAAAGTAGACAAGACTCATAGTGTGAATAAAGCAACTAACTCGATACACACTGTATCACTTCTATGTCTAGAGTTCACATTCTAGCCCTCAAAGTGAGACACAGGAAACAGAACAGAAAGAGAAACAGGTGATGGTGGTTTGATTCTTGTAAAGGGATTTTTACAAAAAAATTGTCATGTAGTATGTATATGCAAGCCTATATTTCCTCAAATTGAAAAAAGAACGAACATTTCCACTGACATTGTAGAAATGATTATGATTCTGTTTTTTTCTCTCTCTTTCAGAATGGGCACCAAACCCCCCTGACATCAGCTACATCTACAGCTAGAACAGAGGAAGAGGCCTTAAGGAGAATAGAAGGGTCATTTACTGTATAAATGGAGGAAGGACCATGTACAATAGAGAGATGGATGAAATGGGAGTAGACATGAGTGTGAGAGGGCTAGATAAACTAGTTGGGTAGGTATTTATATATAAGAGGAAGAGGTGTATTGACAGACACACAGTTCATATACTCATATCAGCTGAGACCCATTCGCTTATAGAGATAGACAGAGCGAGATAGAGAGGGATGGAGTGTGGAGAGAGTATCCTGTGTGGGTCTGGGGAGCTTGATCTGGACCCTGACATTGTGAGTGAAGAGGCTGGGAAACTGTACTCAGAACTACAGGTAAACACATCACATCATATCCACCTCTCAACTGCTTTCTGTTCGATCGCCCCTTTCCTGCCTCTCTTTCTCCTAGCTGGCTTCTCATTCTTCTGTCTCTTCTCCCATCACCACCCACACTTATCTGATGCTACCCCCCATCCCTCCTTCCCTGCTACAGACAGTGATAGAGACCCATGGCGTGGGGGTTGTGGAGTCCCTGGTTCCCATCCTGGTGTGGGTCCTGGAGGGCCTGGCCAGCTGCAGAGCCCAGCTCAGAGAGAGGGAGGAGGAGGCCGAGAAAGAGAAAGGAGAGAGAGATGTGCTGTTGGAGAGATACCAGAGTGAGAAACTACTGAGGAGAGAGAGCCAGGAGGTGAGAGGGGATGGAAGTGTTTATGGTTTATGGTTTTTTTGTTTTATTTATGATATGGGGTCAGGGTTTGGGGTCAATTCCTTTTCAACTCAGTCAATTCAGGATGTTGATTTAAAATTAATGAATAAAAAGTTTAATTCATTTTAATACATGTTTTTTGTTGTTGTTGCCTTTAGCGGTATCTGGAGTTGGATGACCAGATTGAGCAGGAGCGGAGGACGATGAGGGGAAGAGAGAAGGAGAGAGAGAGGAGGGAAAAAGAACTGGAGAAAAAGGCCAGAGAGCAGGCTGACCAATGTGAGTGTCTGACTGGGGCTGGGTGTCCATCGCTTCCTCTCTCTCTCTCTCGCTCTCTCTTCTCCCCCCCCCCTCCTATATCTCTCAATTTCAATTCAAAGGGCTTTATTGGCATGGGAAACATATGTTTACAGTGCCAAAGCAAGTGAAATAAACTATCAGAAATTAACAGTAAACATTACACTCACAAAAGTTTCAAAAGAATAGAGACATTTCAAATGTTCTATTATGACTATGTACAGTGTTGTAACAATGTTACATCTATCTATTTCTCTCTCCCGCTCTCTTTTTTTGCCTTACCCTCTTCATGTCCGTGTAGATTATTTGATATTATTTGATTCACTTCCTTCATTCATATCCTTTGTGTTACAAACTGAGGAAGTTTGGTAAGACCATGGCAAGTAGGCTACAGCAGAATCAGACTGGCACCCTGGTCATTGAGACGTGCTGTACTGTATGTGATGCTAATGCTAAATGCTACTGTGTGTTTCTGTGACAGTGGTGGCCTTGGAGGAGCAGAGGGCTGGACTGGGCAGAAAGCTGAACACACTGAAGCACACTCACAACAAGGTCAGACAACAGCATGTTTAGACTGACAAGGCTGTTTGGGACTCCATGTTTGTGTACTCTTCTATCAGTAACAGCTTCTGTCCATCATCCAATTTGTAAGTCGCTCTGGATAAGAGCGTCTGCTAAATGACGTGAATGTAAATGTAATTGGAAATTTATTTTATTATCCCCCTGTATCTCCTGTTCTCCTTCTTTTTCTCTCTCCATTTTCACATTCTCTCGCTCTCTCGCTCTCTCTCAGTTGGTGCTCAGTTATAAGGATCTACTGGAGAGGAAAAGGGATCTAGAGAGGGAGGGATCTCCACTAAGGTTAGCCACCACTCAATTCAGTTAGTATGACTACAACAACATGGAACTGTATGCAGTCTTTACATTCCAAAGAGATGTAGAGATCTCTTTCACTGTGGTACATTCATTTTATGGTTTATGATCTCTTTCACTGCATTATGATGTCACAATGGGCCCTGTCTGTCTGTCTGTCTTTAGTAACCATGTGCGCTCCAAGAATTCACAATCTACCCAGGGCCAGTCAGAATCCTGTGTTAGCGGGCAGGAGGTACGTTCTCTAGAATGATAACCTCTGTTCTGTCATGTAGTAGTAGTATTTTGTCCTTACTGACTCCTCCCTTTTTCCAGCTAACTGATCTAAGGCCAGAAACACCTCCTGATTCTGCCCAGTTGGAAGAACCGGTAACCAAGGACGATAGGGGGATTGACATTGTCGTAAGGCAGACAGAGATATGTCCTTCATCAATGACATCATAAGCTCCACCCCTGAGCTGGCAAAGTTTCATGGCCTTATGAAGGCCAGGTATGTCCTGTATGTGTGTGTGCACTTACCGTGCAAGATGAACTGAACTGGACTGACTTTATTGCATTACCATGAAAGCTTCTCTTTTACATATTCATAACCATAAACCAACTCAGCCACAACTAGTTAACTGTAAATCAGACTACTTCCCTTCCCAGGTCTGTCATGGTTCAGAAATACTTTTGATGGGACATCTCCCCAACACACACTTTACTGTTGGACAAACTGACACTCACTGCCCCCTCTCAACCTTTTCTCTGTTACCCATGTTCCCTAGCACCCCGGTCCGAGCAGACGCCAAAGAGCCAATCAGAGGCGAGACCAAGGCCAGCATGGATGAAGAAATGAAGGAGGTGGAAGAGAAGGAGGGAGAAGAGGGGGAGGAGGACAAAAAAGGAGGAGGAGTGAAGCAGAAGAATGAGGATGAGGAGGAGGAGGATATGGATCATCTGGAATGGGAGCTGAGGAACACTGAGTCTGTGTTCTCAGAGCTGTCAGAGCTGAGTCGGGAATACGTAGAGAGTGTGGACCAGGGGGCCAGTGTCAGAGGTACGGCCATTAGGCAAGGGCACACCTACACCCCCTGTTTGCAGTAAAACACTGCGCTGGATGTTCAAATAAGAGGAGTAGCTGAGGCAGATGGAGGGGGTAGCAAAGGCAGTGCTGGACAGTAGGCACTAGTTAAACTGGACTGAAGTGTCAATGTCATGAGAACTGACGAGCAATTACAAGCTAGTTGTTCTGAAAAGGGTTGACTTAGGGTTAAGGTATGTGTAAATGGTATTTGTGGTGAGAACTGTTTGTTTCTTCTTGTCTGGGCAGGCAGCACCGACCAGTTTGAGGAGATTGTTTCTCAGTATGAGGAACTGAAACACACCCAGTAAGTCCCTGCGTTTATCACACTTATTATTACTCTACTATGACTAGTCCTGTGTGACTAACTCTGTGTGTAGGGGGCTTACCATTCACTATGCCTCTGTTTAATTTAGATACGTTGACAGAGTGCACATTGGGCCTGAAGTCAAACGGAGCACGATGGGTCCTTTGTTTACTGTATTTACTCACTTATGCATTCTCTCTCTCATTCATTTTCTCTCTCACTCACTCTAACATTCTATCCCTCTACCTCTCCCCCTCCCAGTGAGTTAGTGGATGCGGCCCGGAAAGCGCTGATCTCTCGTGTGGAGGAGCTGACCAATGAGAGGTCAGCTCTTAAACTGGAGGTGACATCCTGCCAGGAGACTGTCACCCGATTGGAGGGAAGGATGAAGGAGATGGAGGAGGAAACCAAGAGGTACACAACTCTAGTGTCAGGTGGTTGATGGTTGGCAGAACCAACAAAAAAAGTATACGAACAATATTTGTTCATGTGGTGTGATTCATTGATTGCGTGTGTTTCTGCTCTCATGTAGACTTCGGAAAGAACTGGAAGCAAACCAGTCAGATGATGATGTAAGAGGGCTTTCTTTGTGTTGTCGCTTTATATTCTGCTAAGAGATGTGTTGTAACCTTTTTCTGTTTCTAAACTGGACTTGATGTACTCTTAACTAGAATGTTCATCTGTTACCCATAGTCCTCTCTGCCCATATCGCTGCGTCGGTTCACTCGGTCGGAGATGTCCCGTGTTGTCATGGAGAAGAATCAGTATAAGGAGCGTTTGTTTGAGCTGCAGGAGGCTGTGAGACGCAGTCAGACTATTAGGTAACCATACCTGCCTGTCTTCCCCCATAGAAGTAGACTGACCGGAGGTTTCATAGTCCTGTAGAAAAGGGAGAAGGGAATAACACATTTCTAACATCAGTCATCCCTTCTTTTCAGGGCCACCCAAGAAGAGAGGATCACGGAGAGAGAGAGGACTAGTGTGTGGAGAAGGTGAGCGTGAGGGAGTGAAGAATCAGGAAGGAAAAGACAACTGTTTTTAATTTGGCAATTATTGCAGTGAAGAAGTCCACAGATGCTGTTAACCACTTTTTCCACTTTAGACCTTGAACTGCTAACAGGCACACAACCACACATATTTGTCTTGGGCCTGGCTCTGGCCCCTGACTTCACAACATTTAGCTCAATAGCTGTTCCTATTTACCTTAAATGTACAGTGGCAACACGGTCTATAGCCTAAGCACATGACCAGAGTGCCTATAGGAAAGTTATGTGTAAGAGTTATTGTATTCCTGTGAGGGGGTCATGGTTTCTGGTCCATTGCAGTCAAATTAACCATTAACTGTCTCTCTGTCCATTCAAGGTTCAACCGTTTGTTTGGCCTGAACAAGAACCCCTTGGTTCCGTCCGCTGCTCTAGCGCTGGCCCTGCCGACGTCACCGTCCCTCACTCACTCACCATTGGGCTCTCCACGGCAACAGGCTCTCAGTACGACTCAGACAGAGTACGTTGATATGATGATAATGGGATTACATGTCTATGGAGCTCTTTCCAACTTCTCAAAGTACTTTACATTGTAAGGTTTGAAGTGAACTCACCTCATCTACTACCATAGGTTACATTAGTAACTATTATAATACAGTACATATTTTTAATAAACCACTCTCTCATCCCCTGCTTCCTCTTCCCCTCTGTTCTTCTTCTTCCTTCCTCCCAGTGGTGCCTCCCCTGCTGCAGCCCTGTCTCCGCGGGTCAGGAGGAGGGAGCTGTACAGAGACATCCGCTCCCATGTCTGGGGAGCACTGGGAAAACGGCAGGTTCATGGCTGGAGCATACCTCTGTCACACATACAGGTGAACATGCACACAAACACACACACACACACACACACACACATACTTCAGAAAGTATTCACACCTCTTGACTTTAAAAATTGATTCAAAGATCTACACACAATAATCTGTAATGTCAAAGTGGAAGAAAAATTATTATATTTCTAGAACATTTATGGAAAATAAAACATTAATTTATCTTGATTACATAAGTATTCAACCCCTGTTAGAATCACCTTGGGCAGCAATTACAGCTGTGAGTATTTTTGGGTAAGTCTCTAAGAGCTTTGCACACCTGGATTGTACAATATTTGCCCATTTTTATTATTTTTTAAATTCTTGAAGCTCTGTCAAGTTGGTTGTTGATCATTGTTGATTATTGCTAGACAGCCATTTTCAAGTCTTGGCATAAATCTTCAAGCTCATTTAAGTCAAAACTGTATCTAGGCTACTCAGAAACATTCAATGTCGTCTTGGTAAGCAACAATCAACTGTTTTAGATGATTGTCCTGCTGAAAGGTGAATTAATCTCCTAGTGTCTGTTGGAAAGCAGACTCAACCTATTACGTTTATTTTTTATCCTAAATAAACTCCATAGTCCTTGCCGATTACAAGCATACCCATAACATGATGCAGCCTACACAATGCTTGAAAATATGAAGAGTGGTACTCCGTTATGTGTTGTGTTGGATTGGCTCCAAAACATAACGCTTCGTATTCAGAACAGAAAATCAATTTCTTTGCCACATATTTACAGTATTACTTTAGTGCCTTATAGCAAACTATTTTTTATTCTGTACAGGCTTCCTTATTTCTCTCTGTCATGCAGGTTAGTATTGTGGAGTAACTACAATGTTGTTGATCCATCCTCAGTTTTCTCCTATCACAGCCATTAAAGTCTGTAACTGTTTAAAAACACCATTGGCCTCATGGTGAAATCCCTGAGCGGGTGTATTGATCCACCATCCAAAGTGTAATTAATAACAACAACATGCTCAAAGGGATATTCAGTGTCTGCTTTTTGTTTTACCCGTCTACCAATAGGTGCCCTTCTTTGCGAGTCATTGGAAAACCTCCCTGGTCTTTGTTGTTGAATCTGGGCTTGAAATTCACTACTCTACTGAGGGACCTTACAGATAATTGTATGTGTGGGGTACAGAGATGAAGAGTCATTCAAAAATCATGTTAAACACAATTATTGCACACAGAGTGAATCAATGCAACTTATGTGACTTGTTAAGCAAAAATTTTACTCCTGAACTTATTAAGGGTTGCCATACCAAAGGGGTTGAATACTTACTGACTCAATACATTTCAGCTTTTAATTTTTTATTAATTTGTAAAATTATTGTGTTTAGATCAGTGACACAAATTCTCAATTGAATCTATTGTAAATTCAGGCAACAAAATATGGAAAAAGAGGTGAAAATACTCACACACAGACTGTGGAAGTAGACACAAACCTTAATCTGGTATATACAGTATATTGTGTGTGATTATTGCAGGAATCCTCAGAGCTGACCCCTGAGCCCAAAGATGTGCCTGTCCTAGTGCAGCTCAGACTGCTGGACCAGAGAGATGCTACAGCCAAGGTAGGACATACTACTCAGAAACATGTCTATACAATCAGTGCTACGGTTTTTAACCCAGACAGTCTTTACCCAGGCGACACAGTCCCTAACTTGTGTCTTCTCTCTGTAGCTGAACTGTGCTGTTGCTGTCACACGTGAGATCTCAGGCGAGACAACGGTAAGGTGGTCATTACCGTCTAATTACTAGTTCTAGTCACAGTAACTACCACTTGCACTACCATCTAACCACCATTTTCAGACCATGTCATGCCAATGGTATTCTCAATGCAAAATCGACCCCTAGCCCTTACTGGCACTTCTTATAGATCTGGAAGGTTTGATAGGTAGAAGCAATATGGTAGTAGCTCCATCATGCCCACTGACAGGCCAGATGGAACCATGTTGTTTAGCATACTGTTTACACCCATCCAAGCCTTTTAGGTCTACACACAAATGCCTAGTGGGTAGGGGCAAGGGCAGTGTTTCCCAAACTCGGTCCTGGGGACCCCAAGGGGTTTTGGTTTTTGCCCTAGCACCACACAGCTGATTCAAATAATCAACTCATCATTAAGCTTTGATTATATGAATCCGCTGTGTAGTGCTAGGGAAAAACCCAAAACGTGCACACCTTGGAGTCTCCAGGACCGAGTTTGAGAAACACAGTTGATCTGTAATGTTTCAGTAGTAGTCATCACTCCTCCCTCTTTTCCATCCACTCTGTCAGTGTGCTGTGTGGGCGGTCTCTGGTCCCGCCTCCAGTAGTGATGTCACAGTGATTGACCCTGCACGGTCCAATACAGTGCTGGATCTGTTCAGCCTCCCGCCCACCTCGCCCGCCCTATGCATCTGTGCTGTGCCCCCTACTGGTCAGTGCTATCTATTACTCTCCGGGTAAAAGTTACCGTTAGGCACAGATCTAGGATCAGCTTACCAATTTTAGATTTCTGTAGACTTGTTAACCACAGCCACCATAATTTCCAAATCATCACTCAACTAGTTATTTCCATTAACAATGCTTTAAACACTGGCAAAGCTATCCAGCTTAACTTCTCTGTTCTGTTTCTGTGTCATCAGGTGAGACCTCAGGAACTGTGTGGATTGGAACTCAGGAAGGAAGGTGAGGCATTGAGATCAAAACCATTCTGTTCACTGATATGTTAAACAGTTCCTCATTCTCCCTCTCCTCTCTTTTTCGCTTTCCTCCTCCCTTCATTCCCAGTGTGTTGGTCCACTCTGCGTCCACAGCTAGGAGGCGCTGTCTGCAGTCTATCTCTCTGTCTGAGGGTGTGCACTCTCTCACGTGAGTACTCCTGTACCCAGTCCGCTATAGACCGCTAGCCCCTACAGTTGGACACTTGGATGACTAGATCTGAAAGGATGACCAGTTTGAATATGACATGTTTTTTCTTTATTTATGTTTACTTTAAACTCTAAACCTTTCAGGTATTCACAAGGTCAAGTCATTGCTGGATTAGCCAATGGGACGCTTGCATTCTTCTCACACAACCCAGGTAATTCCCCCTCTTAGGTTACTGTCAAGATCAGATCAGGTTACTGTCAAGATCAGGTCAGGTTACTGTCGGTTACTGTCAGGATCAGATCAGGTTACTGTCAGGATCAGATCAGGTTACTGTCAGGATCAGGTCAGGTTACTGTCAGGATCAGGTCAGGTTACTGTCAGGATCAGGTCAGGTTACTGTCAGGATCAGGCAGCTCTTCAGGTCAGGTCACTACTGTCAGGATCAGGTCAGGCTACTGTCAGGATCAGGTCAGGCTACTGTCAGGATCAGATCAGGCTACTGTCAGGATCAGGTCAGCCTACTGTCAGGATCAGATCAGGCTACTGTCAGGATCAGATCAGTGCATATGAAGGAAAGAGGAAGAAGTGGTACCATTTAAGTTTATTGAGAGACAACAGTTTTGTCTAGAAGGGATACAGCTTATATCAGAATGGACTTTTCGTAACAGGTTCGGATAATTAGCGTAGCCGGTTCGGATAATTAGTTTAAGGTTAAGAACATTTTTAGGGTTAGCTAAAATGCAAAAAGACAAACATGTTTTGACGTCAATTTGACATAAACTGTATCCATATCTATCCATGACCAAATACAACCTGTTATTGTAAGAGACTGATGATGACTAATCACCACTATATTTGACAGGTGGCTGGGATCTCCAGTCACATGAGGTTTTGCCTCTGGGATCAACTCCACTGCAGCCCATTCGCTGTTGCCTAGCGAAGGGGGCGGGCTTATGGGTAGGATACTGGAATCGGGTTCATGTAGTCGATGTCGAGAATCGAAAAGTGGAGGTAAAGAGTTTGACGAAGCTGAAGATATTGTGTGTGTGAATTCAGAATGGTTTGTATTCTTTTGTGTATATTTCCCACCTCTCTTTCAGCAAACTTTAACCGTCTCGGAGCGCAGTGAGCAGCAGGTGCGTTTCCTGTGTGCGGCAGGAAGTGGTGTGTGGGCGTCCTGCCGGCTCGACCCTACACTCAGGCTTTTTGATTGGTCCACTGGCCGGCTCCTGCAGGATGTGGATCTGACCCCTCTGGTCACCAAAACACTGGGTAGGAACAGGAACAGGATTCTCAGTTCATTAATCTGTTAATGTTTATATTGCTGATGTGAGCATGTAATGGCCCACATACAGTGGGGGAAAAAAGTATTTAGTCAGCCACCAATTGTGCAAGTTCTCCCACTTAAAAAGATGAGAGAGGCCTGTAATTTTCATCATAGGTACACGTCAACTATGACAGAGAAATTGAGAAAAAAAATCCAGAAAATCACATTGTAGGATTTTTAATGAATTTATTTGCAAATTATGGTGGAAAATAAGTATTTGGTCATCTACAAATAAGCAAGATTTCTGGCTCTCACAGACCTGTAACTTCTTCTTTAAGAGGCTCCTCTGTCCTCCACTCGTTACCTGTATTAATGGCACCTGTTTGAACTTGTTATCAGTATAAAAGACACCTGTCCACAACCTCAAACAGTCACACTCCAAACTCCACTATGGCCAAGACCAAAGAGCTGTCAAAGGACACCAGAAACAAAATTGTAGGCCTGCACCAGGCTGGGAAGACTGAATCTGCAATAGGTAAGCAGCTTGGTTTGAAGAAATCAACTGTGGGAGCAATTATTAGGAAATGGAAGACATACAAGACCACTGATAATCTCCCTCGATCTGGGGCTCCACGCAAGATCTCACCCCGTGGGGTCAAAATGATCACAAGAACGGTGAGCAAAAATCCCAGAACCACACGGGGGGACCTAGTGAATGACCTGCAGGGAGCTGGGACCAAAGTAACAAAGCCTACCATCAGTAACACACTACGCCGCCAGGGACTCAAATCCTGCAGTGCCAGACGTGTCCCCCTGCTTAAGCCAGTACATGTCCAGGTCCGTCTGAAGTTTGCTAGAGTGCATTTGGATGATCCAGAAGAGGATTGAGAGAATGTCATATGGTCAGATGAAACCAAAATATAACTTTTTGGTAAAAACTCAACTCGTCGTGTTTGGAGGACAAAGAATGCTGAGTTGCATCCAAAGAACACCATACCTACTGTGAAGCATGGGGGTGGAAACATCATGCTTTGGGGCTGTTTTTCCTGCAAAGGGACCAGGACGACTGATCTGTGTAAAGGAAAGAATGAATGGGGCCATGTATCGTGAGATTTTGATTGAAAACCTCCTTCCATCAGCAAGGGCATTGAAGATGAAACGTGGCTGGGTCTTTCAACATGACAATGATCCCAAACACACCGCCCGGGCAACGAAGGAGTGGCTTCGTAAGAAGCATTTCAAGGTCCTGGAGTGGCCTAGCCAGTCTCCAGATCTCAACCCCATAGAAAATCTTTGGAGGGAGTTGAAAGTCTGTGTTGCCCAGCGACAGCCCCAAAACATCACTGCTCTAGAGGAGATCTGCATGGAGGAATGGGCCAAAATACCAGCAACAGTGTGTGAAAACCTTGTGAAGACTTACAGAAAACGTTTGACCTGTGTCATTGCCAACAAAGGGTATATGACAAAGTATTGAGAAACTTTTGTTATTGACCAAATACTTATTTTCCACCATAATTTGCAAATAAATTCATAAAAAATCCTTCAATGTGATTTTCTGGAGAAAAAAAATCTCATTTAGTCTGTCATAGTTGACGTGTACCTATGATGAAAATTACAGGCCTCTCTCATCTTTTTAAGTGGGAGAACTTGCACAATTGGTGGCTGACTAAATACTTTTTTTCCCCACTGTAGAAGTTAATGTACAACTTTGAATTAATTTTCTTCAATTCTGCTTCAAGCCTTACCTCCTCAACCCCTAAACTGAACCCACTCTGCTTGAATTGATAAGTTCCTGACTGTTTGGATCTCTCTCTTCTCCAGGCCCTGCCTTCCTGTCTCTCTCCCCGCTGCAGATCTCCTCCCTCACCGTCATCTCTGGCCGGCTGTGGGTGGGAACAGGAAGTGGCGCCATCTTCTCCATACCCGTGTCTCTCAGTGAGTACTAACCTCTGGTCCCCAGAGGTCAACAACAGAATGACCTGAGACATAATGCCATTATGGCATTACACTGGTCACATGTCAATTGTCTCTTCTCTGCGTTCCATAGTTCAGAGTCTGCCTCTATACCATACTGTCAGGCTACAGGTCAGGCTACTGTCAGGATCAGATCAGCCTACTGTCAGGATCAGGTCAGGCTACTGTCAGGATCAGATAAGGTTACTGTCAGGATCAGATCAGCCTACTGTCAGGATCAGATCAGTCTACTGTCAGGATCAGGTCAGGCTACTTTCAGGATCAGATCAGCCTACTGTCAGGATCAGGTCAGGCTACTGTCAGAATCAAATCAGCCTACTGTCAGGATCAGGTCAGGCTACTGTCAGGATCAGATCAGCCTACTGTCAGGATCAGATCAGCCTACTGTCAGGATCAGGTCAGGCTACTGTCAGGATCAAATCAGCCTACTGTCAGGATCAGGTCAGCCTACTGTCAGGATCAGGTCAGCCTACTGTCAGGATCAGGTCAGGCTACTGTCAGGATCAGGTCAGGCTACTGTCAGGATCAGGTCAGGCTACTGTCAGGATCAGATCAGCCTACTGTCAGGATCAGGTCAGGCTACTGTCAGGATCAGATCAGCCTACTCTCAGGATCAGATCAGTGCATATGAAGGAAAGGAGGGAAGAAGTGGTACCATTTAAGTTTATTGAGAGACAACAGTTTTGGCTAGAAGGGATACAGCTTATATCAGAATGGACTTTTCATAACAGGTTCGGATAATTAGCGTAGCCGGTTAGGATAATTAGTTTAAGGTTAAGAAAATGTTTAGGGTTAGCTAAAATGCAAAAAAACAAACATGTTTTGATGTCAATTTGACAAACTGTATCCCATCTATCCATGACCAAATACAACCTGTTATTGTAAGAGACTGATGATGACTAATCATCACTATATTTGACAGGTGGCTGGGATCTCCAGTCACATGAGGTTTTGCCTCTGGGATCAACTCCACTGCAGCCCATTCGCTGTTGCCTAGCGAAGGGGGCGGGCTTATGGGTAGGATACTGGAATCGGGTTCATGTAGTCGATGTCGAGAATCGAAAAGTGGAGGTAAAGAGTTTGACGAACCTGAAGGTATTGTGTGTGTGAATTCAGAATGGTTTGTATTCTTTTGTGTATATTTCCCACCTCTCTTTCAGCAAACTTTAACCGTCTCGGAGCGCAGTGAGCAGCAGGTGCGTTTCCTGTGTGCGGCAGGAAGTGGTGTGTGGACGTCCTGCCGGCTCGACCCTACACTCAGGCTTTTTGATTGGTCCACTGGCCGGCCCCTGCAGGATGTGGATCTGACCCCTCTGGTCACCAAAACACTGGGTAGGAACAGAATTCTCAGTTCATTAACCTGTTCATGTTTATATTGCTGATGTGAGCATGTAATGGCCCACATAGAAGTTAATGTACAACTTTGAATTAATTTTCTTCAATTCTGCTTCAATCCTTACCTCAACCCCTAAACTGAACCCACTCTGCTTGAATGGATACATTCCTGACTGTTTGGATCTCTCTCTTCTCCAGGCCCTGCCTTCCTGTCTCTCTCCCCGCTGCAGATCTCCTCCCTCACCGTCATCTCTGGCCGGCTGTGGGTGGGAACAGGAAGTGGCGCCATCTTCTCCATACCCGTGTCTCTCAGTGAGTACTAACCTCTGGCCCCCAGAGGTCAACAACATAATGACCTGAGAGATAATGCCATTATGACATTACACTGGCCACATGTCAATTGTCTTCTCTGCGTTCCATAGGTTCAGAGTCTGCCTCTATACCATACTGCTCTTTGGCGGCAGCACAACTGTGTTACCATGGACACCGCCAGGCTGTCAAGTTCATCATTGCTGCACCTGGTGAGAATCTCCTATCGTTGTTCATTCCTTCACTGTTGTGTAACAATCAAGTTATTATGCAATTATTCTACAGCAGGGCTATTCAACTGGCGGCCCGCAGCCCATACCGGGCCCATTTATTAATTTAGCTTGGCACTTTGATTAATTCTGAACCTTAATCAAAGATCTGCAAAAAAAATCCCCTCCAAAATCCAACATTCAGTGTCAAAATGACAAGCACTATGGTGGTTGTCTATAGTGTAGTTTCTAGCGTTTTTAAACGGTTTCAAGCGCCTATGTGGCATGTTGATAATGTTTTCTTCATATGAATTTGGCTCTAGTGTTTAGTGAACGGTTTAAGCTACAAAATATTATGACCCCATTCCTGAAAGCTACGACTCTCAGGAACACTACGTGCCTTCTGTGTCCCTCTCTGATGCTTGCAAGGACTCGTTAGAAGGAAGTGTGACAAATACATGCACCTAATGACTGTGGGAAATGAATTCAAAGCATCCTTCCTTCAGACTGGAATTTGGCATTACCTGATTTGACACATCTATGTGTTATTTATCAAGATGCTTAGTTTTCAGATTTTAAAATGACCAAATTACGTTTAAGAAGCTTTTAATAGTTAAAATGGTGAGCAAGCGTTGCGACTTTTCCTTTTCAATGATGAGCAAATTTTGGGGTTGTTCCTCGACTCATGTTGGTTGAGCGCCCTCCACTTCTTCCCTAATTACTTTTAGCAACATTTCATTTAAAGACAAGTGCTTTATTGGTGGTGTGCTTTGCTTTTTTTATACAGTTCTTCCAAAGAATAATCGCATGTGGAAAATGTCCGGCCCCCTGCAATTAACTTTTATTTTTCTTTCTTTTTTTTACATCTTGCCCAGTAGGAATATAGTTGAATAGCCCTGTTCTACAGTATTATATACTATGCAGTTATTACATAGCTATTCGATAGTATTATGTTGTGATACTATGCAGTTATTACATGGTTATTAGTATTCTATATCTGTGTTCCCCAGGCTGTGTGACCAGCTCCTATACAACAGGAGGCGCTGCTCTGACTCTAGTCTCTACCTCTCAGCTCATCCTCAGTGGAGGAGAGGGCTACATCAACTTCCGCATCGGTGAGTTGAGGACCTAACGTGGTTGTCATTAGTGTGGTTGTCTGACTGACTGTCTCCCTCCTACCCTCCCCAGGGGACGACGCGAATGACGGCGCGCCCGAAGCTGCCCCGCTGCGATCAGACCGCAGTCACATGATAATCTGGCAGAGCCCCACCCCCTCCCTGCCCAGCTCCGCCCTTTGACCACACCCACATCCAGTCTAGAATGAGACAAGGAAGGATTAGACAGAGATGTATCCATTCACTAGGAGATCCATTTGGATTTAATCTTGGGATTAAATTAAGACATCACAGCCTAATCCTTCTTGTCTCACTCTGTTATTCAGTTGCTACCATCATCCCTTTGACTAAACCTCTCACCTGGTTAACCCAGTCTCTATGTGTGCCTTAATGTGATTTGACAATCGTTGCTGTGAGATTGAGATTGGTCATTGTACAACGTTTTGTATTTTTTGTGAAACATGTTTCCTCATCATGGTAATCATATATGGGTGGCAGGTAGCCTAGCGGTTAAGAGCGTTGGGCCAGTAACCAAAAGGTCGCTGGTTCGAATACCCGAACCGACTAGGTAAAAAATCTGTGCCCATGAGCAAGGCACTTAACCCTAATTGCTCCTGTAAATCGCTCTGGATAAGAGTGTCTGCTAAATGGTAAATATCACCACTGTAGCAAAGTATTTTACAGTAAGAGTCATCATCTCTGCCTTTTGGTTGGTCAGTTAAGAATGGTTTGTTGGGTTTGTTTTTACCACAAAACATGCACACTCAGATTCATATCATCATTCCATGACGTTGGCACAAGGTCATTATACCCTTGATCAAACTTGTTTACATTGATACTGAGATGTAGTGTTGAAGCTGCTGGGTTCCTAATAACTATTGTTGCATAAGACCCTGGCCTTCAGTTCCCATTGCATGCTGGGTAAATCTGCAGTGTAATTGCACTTTATTATCATCTCTGTGTGTGTGTGTGTGTGTGTGTCTTATCTTTTGAAATGATTGGCTAATCCTCTTAAAGATTCTATAAAAAAACTGCTAGTATTTCTCCCAGAGAAATTATCTTATGTCATGCATTTGTGAAACACATATGGTTTGTTAAATTTTTGTTTGAAGTTCTTTTCATTTGCAGAGCGATAAGAGAGTGGAAGTCTCAAAATATACTTAAAGTATTTTATGCAGTATTTGAAAGTGTGTTTGTGTGTGAATCATGTCTGAAAATGTTAATAATAACTGGACTATGCAAGACAATCTATGTATCTACTTAAATCTATGAAAAATAAACTTTTGTAAATACTTTCATAAAATATCTGTTTTCAAATGCAATACTTTTCACCCCAAATGTTCACAAATGCCCTATGGTAGGTTATTTTATAGTTTAATAAAATTGTATCATTTAATACAAAAACCCTATTACGATTAAAGGAAAACCACATCACATGGATTACTATTAATATAAATACCAATGCTGTACAGACTCAAGCCTAAACAAACCAACCAAGTATGAACTATGAATAGCCTCCATCATGCTTGATCGTTTAAAATCCTGTACAATTACAGTGGGGAGAACAAGTATTTGATACACTGCCGATTTTGCAGGTTTTCCTACTTACAAAGCATGTAGAGGTCACATTGTATGATTTTTAAGTAATTCATTTGCATTTTATTGCATGACATAAGTATTTGATACATCAGAAAAGCAGAACTTAATATTTGGTACAGAAACCTTTGTTTGCAATTACAGAGATCATACGTTTCCTGTAGGTCTTGACCAGGTTTGCACACACTGCAGCAGGGATTTTGGCCCACTCCTCCATACAGACCTTCTCCAGATTCTTCAGGTTTCGGGGCTGTCGCTGGGCAATACGGACTTTCAGCTACCTCCAAAGATGTTCTATTGGGTTCAGGTCTGGAGACTGGCTAGGCCACTCCAGGACCTTGAGATGCTTCTTTTTACGGAGCCACTCCTTAGTTGCCCTGGCTGTGTGTTTCGGGTCGTTGTCATGCTGGAAGACCCAGCCACGACCCATCTTCAATGCTCTTACTGAGGGAAGGAGGTTGTTGGCCAAGATCTCACGATACATGGCCCCATCCATCCTCCCCTCAATACGGTGCAGTCGTCCTGTCCCCTTTGCAGAAAAGCATCCCCAGAGAATTATGTTTCCACCTCCATGATTCACGGTTGGGATGGTGTCTTGCGGTTGTACTCATCCTTCTTCTTCCTCCAAACATGGTGAGTGGAGTTTAGACCAAAAAGCTCTATTTTTGTCACATCAGACCACATGACCTTCTCCCATTCCACCTCTGGATCATCCAGATGGTCATTGGCAAACTTCAGACGGGCCTGGACATGCGCTGGCTTGACCAGGGGGACCTTGCGTGCGCTGCAGGATTTTAATCCATGACGGCGTAGTGTGTTACTAATGGTTTTCTTTGAGACTGTGGTCCCAGCTCTCTTCAGGTCATTGACCAGGTCCTGCCGTGTAGTTCTGGGCTGATCCCTCACCTTCCTCGTGATCATTGATGCCCCACGAGGTGAGATCTTGCATGGAGCCCCAGACCGAGGGTGATTGACCGTCATCTTGAACTTCTTCCATTTTCTAATAATTGCGCCAACAGTTGTTGCCTTCTCACCAAGCTGCTTGCCTATTGTCCTGTAGCCCATCCCAGCCTTGTGCAGGTCTACAATTGTATCCCTGATGTCCTTACACAGCTCTCTGGTCTTGGCCATTGTGGAGAGGTTGGAGTCTGTTTGATTGAGTGTGTGGACAGGTGTCTTTTATACAGGTAACGAGTTCAGACAGGTGCAGTTAATACAGGTAATGAGTGGAGAACAGGAGGGCTTCTTAAAGAAAAACTAACAGGTCTGTGAGAGCCGGAATTCTTACTGGTTGGTAGGTGATCAAATACTTATGTCATGCAATAAAATGCAAATTAATTACTTAAAAATCATACAATGTGATTTTCTGGATTTTTGTTTTAGATTCCGTCTCTCACAGTTGAAGTGTACCTATGATAAAAATTACAGACCTCTACATGCTTTGTAAGTAGGAAAACCTGCAAAATCGGCAGTGTATCAAATACTTGTTCTCCCCACTGTATGTTATCTACCGGAGGTGTTTTAGCAAAGGTCAAGTCACAATAAAAAGCAATGACCAACAGTTTTTCCATCTTGTACTTGACACTAGTGAACAAGCAGTATGTAAGTCTCTTCCACCGTGGAGGCGGTAGAACTTGGGTTAATGAATGAGGGAGTTCTATAAAAAAATGTATCTTAAAAACGGAATCTTATTAATGCCCCGGGTGAAGCGGGTTAGCGTTGATTACATTCGTTTGGCCTACATCGAAGTCAGCTCAAAAAAAAAAGTGACGAAGTAGTGGAGTAATGAGTAGGATTCTGTGTTTTCACATACAAAAATGATTGCTTTTGATAAAAAGGCTTTATCTGCCTTCCTAATGAAACTAGTTTGAAAATGTGAACATATGCTGCCTTGATGACAACATGACCGAGCGGCGAGATTACTGTTCGATTTGAGAAGGGCGCTCCTCCCTCCTGCCCGCATTTAATAGCACTCCCTCAATGCTAACAATACCGCTCTCGGACCCCCAGGCAGTTTGACTGTCAGGGGCCAATAGTCTAATGGAGACACTGAGGACCCTCCCCTACAACCATGCCCTTCTCCTCCGCCTGGCCATGAAGCATCATGAGGGGCTGCTGTGGCTCCTGGGGAGTCGTATCCTGCGGCTGAGAGAGCGGGCCAGCCGGTCCATGGCACCCATGGTTCCCCCTAGCTCCTTCCTGGAGGTCAGGCCCTCGATGTTCCCGCTGTACCACATGACCCAGCCTCCCAGGGACATGAGCATCAGTAGAGCCCCAGAGTACACCAGCAGGTCCCCAAAGTCCTGTCCCTTAATTTCTAATGGGGCGAAGACCCCCACCAGCAGAGCAGACACACCTAGCAGGTCCATCAATATGGCAAACACCAGGGCCAGCTTACAGTGGGACAGACCATCATAGTGCTGCGCCATGGTCACTCACCTGGGGGACAGAGAGGTGGGAGAGGTGAGGTGTGTGGCACATTGAAAGACATCAATCTTGTGCATTGACATTGCTCAGAGTAAAATCACAATGGAGTCACCTCTGGCAATGATAGGGGGCTCACTCTAGGCCTACTGGTCGAGTAGGAGGATGTTGTATGAACATAAACATGACACCATGGCATGTATGTTCTGTAGCTATTAAAGTACAGGTATGTTTGAAATAATGTAACCATGGTCAAATAACTACAGTATGTTATTCAAATATTTACTGTGTCTGTGTATTTAGGCCTACACTTTTTTACCTTTTCATCTAACATGGTAGGTTCCTACAATACTCTTCAATGTATCTTTATTCATAGGAATAACAGGTGCCACACCTGAGGCTATGATACTCCCAGCACAACCGAGACACTTTTGTGTTTCGATGCCAGTAAAAAAGCAGATTTAAACACAGAAAAACATAACAGATTAACACTCACCTCATCACAGGTGCATATGCGTTTTGATTAGTATCTTTTCTATGTTTATCTCTTAAAAATATAAGTAGAATCCACTCAAACTGTATCCTTCCGGTTCTTCGCTGGCAGGTAAAAACAGTGACTCATGAGTGAATAATGTTACCTGACACCTCTCCACTCCCCCCTCACCTGAGCTTTTCTGCACTGACGAATATTATTGGTCCGGTGTCCTTTGATCAGAGCAGCACTAAACGAAAGCAAGAAAAACCTGTCAAACAATATTTTACTTTTCAATTCTTTTCACACTGACATTTCTTTTGGAATATGAAATATGATGTATATACTGAACAAAAATATAAATGCAACATGCAAAAATGTCTTACGATTTTACTGAGTTACAGTTCATATAAGGAAATCAGTAAATTGAAATAATTTAATTAGGCCCTAATCTATGGATTTCACATGACTGGGCAGGGGCTACACACTTGGGCGCCAGGCCCACCCACCGGGGGGCCAGGCGCAGCCAATCAGAATGAGTTTTTCCTCCACAAAAGGGACAGAAATACTCCTCTGTTTCATCAGCTGTCCGGGTGGCTGGTCTCAGACGATCCCGGCAGGTGAAGAAGCCTGATGTGGAGGTCCTGGGCTGGCGTGGTTACAGGTGGTCTGGGTTGTGAGGCAGTTGGAGACCATGCAAATTCTATAAATTCCTAGAGTATGAACAAGGTGCACCTGTGTAATGATCATGCTGTTTAATCAGCTTCTTGATATGCCACACCTGTCAGGTGGATGGATTATCTTGGCAAAGGAGAAATGCTCACTAACAGGGATGTAAACAAATCTGTGCACAACATTTTAGAGAAATAAGCTTTTTGTGCTTATGGAACATTTCTGGGATCTTTTATTTCAGCTCATGAAACATGGGACCAACACTTTACATGTTGCGTTTAGATTTTTGTTCAATATATAATATAATGGGTTATTATTTAATAATTAACAATTAATACAATACACAAGAGCTTTCCATTGATAAAGATGTGTATTTACAGTGCGAAGCCTGGGTTGACACCGACTATGGAGGACTAAAAGTGCCACAATTAAATAAATAAATACACCATTAAATAATTACTTAAATGTGTCATTAATTAATTCAAATTATAATTAAATACATAAATGTGTAATTAAATGTATCATTAATTAATTCAAATACCGATTCATTTTATGTAAAATACATATATAATTATTTCACTATTTACATTTACATTTCATGATCCTGCATTGCAGTGATTCATGAATTACTTAAAACTGTCAAACTGACCCATCAAAGTCAGTGGGCGGGGCTAACGCGAATCTAGTCTGATCCATTGCTTTGGTCTGAAGTAGAGTAGGCCAACCTGGATAGAGACAATGGAGGATCTCCGTGAACTTTCCAGGGAGTTGGTTAGAGACATTTTAAACTTAGCAGATGATGTAGAAGCAGGACCTGCTGACATTATCCGGAATTGATTTGTCTTGGCTTGATGCAGAGGGTAACCAATCAGGCGTTAGGTTCCGCCTACCAACTTTTGATGGGTCAGTTTGACAGTTTTAAGTAATTCAGGAAGCACTCCAACGCAGGACCATGAAATGTAAATGTAAATAGTGAAATTATTATATATGTATTTTACATAAAATGAATCGGTATTTGAATTAATTAATGACACATTTAATAACACATTTATGAGCTGGTAAGGGGACACTGAAGCAGCGCCTTTTCGTTACAAACAAATATTGGTACACGGTAGACTCTCCCTTAGGTAACCGGAAATGAGGGCGAAGGACGTAAACAAGGCTTGTAAAATAAACGCTAAATTGTTATTGTTCTAGCTAGGTACGAAAGTGCACAGAATGAATGGGATTTACGTATGAAATACGGTGTTATAACGACTGAATAACGGTTCGTATATCATTGATTTGTGGAGAACTCCACCAGAAAATAGTTTGTGCGTAAAAGAAGCAGCTAGCTTGCTACTAGTAAAATAGCTAGCTGCTGATTAGCTAGCTAGCCTGTGTAAGATTAGAAGACTCCTTATAGCAATTTGATATGTAGCTAACGTGTCCATTTTTAATTATACATCTTGTAAGCAACCGTATGTCATCCAAGAACATCGTGAATCATGTGCTAATATAACTTGTTAGTACGCTCGCAAGTGTAACGTTAGACAAAGGGGAATAAAGCGATCTGTGCGAAGTAAGTAGGTAACTTCTGCATCTCAGCTGAGAATTGCCATACAGTAACTACTAGTAATTACATATCTAGTGGCATAATTGCATGAACGAATGCTTAGCAAGCTGAAGGCAACCCGTCCTAGTAACATTTCAAAGTTATTACAAAACTGACTGCATACATTTGCAACGAAACATCGTCAATGGGAGTTGTATTCCATCGTTGGATGTTGTGTGCCTAATGCAATAAATTAATAAACTGTATTGTTTCTGTACAATGAAGGGTGCACGAGATGCAGGAGGGAAATATGAATGACGCTGTGCCTACCTCCAAGAACCACACAGGCTCCCACCCCATGCAGAGTAAGATTATGAAACATCCTTCTAAAATCTGCATCATTGATATAGCTGTGTATTTATCTCATCATGACAAAGTGATAACAGTTATTTAGCCATAATGGTGCCTCTATGCATGGACTACAGTATATTTCTCCCTCTCTGTAGCGCCGAAGAACGAGGACGCCTATGAAATCTCCATTCCCTTTGAGGAGAACAACTTTGAGCAGCAAGGCTTCTTCAACCAGAATGAACAGAGTTTTGACGGTTCATATCAAAGCTTTTATTTCCTACTAGATCAGAGCCCATAGATTAATGTAGTTGAATGACCATCTGGAAGGACAGTCCAGTGAGTCCACTCACCTGGTTTCTCCGGTGTGAATCGGTTAGTGATTAAGATTAATCCTCATATTCACTCCCTGACCCTTAACTTCCTGTGTGTGTTTCTCAGAGTCGCCCCCTCCCTCAGGCGCCCCCCCACCAGGCAGCTCGTACCTGCTGATCACCAACCTGCGGACGCAGCTGCAGATCTCCCTGGAGAAGAACTCGTGGCTGCACAAACGCATCGAGGACCTGGAGGAGGAGAGGGACTTCCTGCGTTGCCAGCTGGACCGCTTCATCTTCTCTACCAAGACCCAGGGCCATCAGAACCAGGGCCCCAGCGAGAGCCAGTACAGCAACGGTGAGAGAGGGGCATGGAGAGGGTTTGGGAAGGAGGATGGACACTGGGGGGATACAACCAGGATGGAGATAGATGTATTGTGATTAGAGAAGTTCTAACATGCTGACCACACCACCCGCGTTGCGTGCACGAGCGTTGCAAAATAAATGTACACATACATGTTATTCAATCATTTCATCCAAACTGCTTGCGCGCGTCAATCAGCGTCTGCGTAGCCAGGCACTAAAATAGAACTTGGTTCTATTTTAGATGCTTGATGTGCTGCAAGTCCCGCCTCTCCCATCTCCTCATTGGTTTTTAGGAGCATGATTTCATGTAATGGACATACACAAAATAGTCCAAATTGGTGAAGTGAAATGAAACAAATATTTTATTTTAAAAAAACATCTAAAAAATAAATAACGGAAAAGTGGTGCGTGCATATGTGTTCACCCCATTTGCTATGAAGCCCCTAAATAAGATCTGGTGCAACCAATTACCTTCAGAAGTCACATAATTAGTTAAATAAAGTCCACCTGTGTGCAATATAAGTGTCACATGATCTGTCACATGCTCTCAGTATATACAGTGGGGAGAACAAGTATTTGATACACTGCCGATTTTGCAGGTTTTCCTACTTACAAAGCATGTAGAGGTCTGTAATTTTTATCATAGGTACACTTCAACTGTGAGAGACGGAATCTAAAACAAAATCCAGAAAATCACATTGTATGATTTGAGACTGGGACGGAGGTTCACCTTCCAGCAGGACAATGACCCTAAACATACAGCTAAAGCAACACTCAAGTGGTTTTAAGGGGAAACATTTCAATGTCTTGGAATGGCCAAGTCAAAGCCCAGACCTCAATCCAATTGAGAATCTGTGGTATGACTTAAAGATTGCTGTACACCAGTGGAACCCATCCAACTTGAAGGAGCTGGAGCAGTTTTGCCTTGAAGAATGGGCAAAAATCCCAGTGGCTAGATGTGCCAAGCTTATAGAGACATACCCCAAGAGACTTGCAGCTGTAATTGCTGCAAAAGGTGGCTCTACAAAGTATTGACTTTGGGGGGGTGAATAGTTATGCTCGCTCAAGTTTTCAGTTTTTTTTTATCTTATTTCTTGTTTGTTTCACACACAAAAAATATTTTGCATCTTCAAAGTGGTAGGCATGTTGTGTAAATCAAATTATACAACCCCCCAAAAAATCCATTTTAATTCCAGGTTGTAAGGCAACAAAATAGGAAAAATGCCAAGGGGGGTGAATAATTTCGCAAGCCACTGTATACCCACATGGGTTATTGAAAAATGGAGGTCCACACTCCAGTCCATTTGGTGGTGGTAATGCACCTTAAATATGGTTGCCAACCGCCATATAAAATCCACAGAAGAAGAAGAAGAATGAACAAGGAGAAAAACTAACTAGGTTTCCCCTTTTTATCTGTGGATTTTGTATGACTCAACATGGGTAAAAATTCTAAAAAGATCCAGCTAGAAAAAGGACCATATTCAGGTAAAATAACAACCAAATGTTTATTTTCCAGGACAAAATAGCTAGCAACAGCAAGCTAGCTAAATGTCCATGAACGTTTCATTTGTGTTTCGACCTGTTCCCAAATTAATATAGTTGGTCCACAGTTGGTTTTGGTATTTTAACCTGCGTGTAATTAACGCGTCTGGTGGGGATAGACAAAACCAGCATGCAGACGCATGCGCGGAGCCAGTTTGGTAAGCATGTAAGAGAACTTACTTTTTACAGGCATAGATTTATTCTCAGGAACCATTGTTTTTCCTCCTGCAGGCTATGACTCTAGACGTTTTGAATGGAAGGCGAGGAGAGAGGGAGAACGGCCAGCTGGTAAGAACTGCTTTATTACCTCACTAGTCCCTTGTTGTTCATGATGCCTGTATCTAGATCTGGAGCATATTCTATACATTCTCATCACCCTCACCACTACTGGCCTCAGTTCACTGATCACCCTCATTGATCTTCTCCTTTTCCGATCGTTAACCCTTTCAGAGCAGAAGTCCGAGCCACAGCGTTTCACCTCTCGTCAGATATTCCAGCGAAGACCCTCCCCCACTGCGATGGCCCCACCCAAAAACCACACTTCCAGCACGATAGCCAATCAGATGGCTGCGATGAGCTCCATGTTCAGCTCCGGGGCCACCCAGACCCTCTTGCAGGGGCACAGCAGTGGCAGTAGCAACACTAACAGAACCACCATGAGTGACATGAATGCACACGGGAGTGTAGGGCCAGGTAAGGGGATCCAGACTAGAGGTTGACATGGGAACAGGACTCTTGCAGGTTCAACGGGATTCCGGCAGGAATGGGAGGGAAGTTCTAGGGTCAAGTTCAGGACAGGATGGGAGTCCACAGGGACGGGCAGTACAGGAATAGTTATAAGTGAGGGGAGGTTTTTTGGGGGGGGTTCTAAATATTTAATGTGTGGAGCATTTCATTAAAAAAATGAACTGTGTAGGCCTAATATAGTTTACTTAATAAAAATATTTAAAATTATTTGTAATTTCCGCCCTCCCCCTTCTGTCGGCTCGCGCCTCGCTCCAGTTGTAGCCAGTCACTACTTTACCTCAGATGCCAACGTATGTCAGTGAATGATGAAGCCTTCAAGAGAGGAATTGCAGTATCTCGTTGCAGCCAAGGACCCATCACTAACATTAGAGCCATTAAAAGGAAAGAGTGATGTTTTAGCTAAATGTGATAGAGTTGTCAAGCAACTAAGTACACGGCACCAACCGGAGAGCAAGACAAGCGGCATGAAGCGGCATAGCTGCTCTACCAACAATGTTAGCGGTCAAGCCCAATTGTTTGCGTATTTAACTAAACCTGTGCCATCTGAGGTAAAGAGTAGGATGGCCGATAGGGTGGCAGATACGGCCTCCGGCATTTCATCTTGTTGAGGGCCAACATCTGGTAATGTGGTTGCTATCAGCTGTGTGTGAACTGCAGGCAACTGTCTCGTGAGCGCTGCGCAGCAGCCAAACGAACCAGTTGCTATGGTTACCATATATACAGTCATTGATGAAGACTACTCACACGCAGAGTGGGGGACAGAGATGAGCAGCTAATGGAGGAAGTTATTTCTGATTTCTGTGCGTAAAAAATTGGGATTTTTATCTGGATGGGAAAGGAAAGTTCTGGGGTTATAGAACTGTTGCGGCTTCAGGACAGTACAGGACCAGACATTTACATTTACGTCATTTAGCAGACGCTCTTATCCAGAGCGACTTACAGTTAGTGAGTGCATACATTTTCATACTGACGGGACAGGAATGAATTTTCACTTCCGTGACAACCTCTAATCCAGACTATGAGCACATCTAGTCTATCACATCTAGTCTAAAGTTGTTTTTTATCACGGTCTTGTTTGTCATGTTCTTGTTTGTCTGTTCAGATTCCCTGTCCCTCCTGGGGGAGGCCGAGGAGTTCCTGGAGCAGGATGGCTACATGAACGAGGAGGAAATGATTTCAGGAGAGGAAGTGATGGCAGAGGGCATGAGCAGCGGTGGGCACCCAGGGATGAAGAGGAGGCGGGTCTTCCGAATCACCAGGGAGAGGCAGAGAGGTGAGGGACAATGGCAGCCATGTTAACACGCGTCTTACTCAGGCCAAGTTCGAATGCTTTGGAAATGCTTTGTTCCTTCCTTCCTTGAAGTAGGCCTAATCAATCCCCATCTCCTCCCCCTCTAGTCAAAGACGCTGCAGGGGTGCTGTTCCGCTATAAGAAGATCCTGCTGACCTACCAGCGGCTGAAGAACATGTCCAAGGCCTTCCAGATTCATGGGGTGGACCGCAACACGGTGGCCTCCACCACGCCCATCGCTGAGATGCTGCTGGTGGCCCCGGAGAAGGTGGCGGAGGTGGGCGAGTTTGACTCGTCCAAGGAGAAGCTGCTGGACTACGCACGCCGCTGCTACATCGCCCTGGACGAAGAGACACTCAGCAGGGTGCAGGCCCTGAAGAAGAACAACCTGCTACTACCCATCTCCTACAGGTTCAGACACTGATGGGGGGGAGGGACGCTGGGGATGAGGGGAATCAGGGAGTCAAGGTGATGGGGGGGTGCTCAGTGGGGAGAAGGGCTTCATTTTGTCATGGAGAAGAGCAGGGTGTGACTTTTGGAGAAGGTCGTCACTCAACCATCTCCCTAAGATTCAGACATTTATGGAAAGTTACGATTTGTGTATGGGTGTGCTGGATATTTAGGGGAGGTTGTTGCCCATCTCATACACAGAATCTGTTTTCTATTCTTAACTATTTGTTAAGAATCCTTTTGAAGCAGAGGTCATGAACTATAGCATTCCTTATTTCTGACCAGAGTACTATTGAACTTTGTAGTACTTTATTTCTGTGCAATTTTGATACACAGGGCCCCATTTTGCAACGCCAAAAAGTGGTGCTATTGTCTGAAGAGGCCGTGCTACTCCCAAATACTTACAGTAGCAGCATGAAGGTACAGTGATCACATCGTACATTTGTTGCATTCCAAACTGGCTCTTTATTTTCATCGTTACTTGAAATAAGTGCCCCGCTGACTATATTTGAGGTAATACGGTCTTTTTTGACGATCATCTATTTTGCGCTGTCAGAATTTCACCTTTTAGTGTCTTCATGTAAAAGTGGTGTCATATTCTGCACACTCACAAAAGCAATGCCAATACATCTTTATTTACAGATAAATGTTTGTTGTTTGGAATAACATTCCCTCATTGTCTTTTTCCTAGCACTTCAAAAACAAGTGTATTATTTGTGCACTTAAATGATGACCTTATTTAGATATAACAAACAGCCCACACCTAGTGATTTTGGATCTGTCTCTCATTTCTCCAGGTTGAAAGGAGGAGAGGATTCTCTTAAAGAGAAGGAAACTGACACGACCACAAACTGAACAAAGCAAAGAATAGCTGCACGCTCTATTGCTCAGATTCAAACCTCTAGTAGAATAATTCCAGTGTTCCGTCAGAAAGCTTCCAGGTTCTGAAACAAAGGAAGTCAGCGAGCTGACTGACCACTGGTGTTGTCTGCATCAGAACAACAGAATAAGCAGATACTCTTTGCTTTGGAAGAAGGATGGGGCCAGTTTTGGGAACAGTGCTACTGTGAGGCTAAGCTGTTGTACCACAAATACATCACCAAGTTTTCTTTTGCACCAGAATATATTCTGTCACTGTAAAGTGCCACTGTAGCATACAGTTGTGAGATGTGTAATTTGACTGAAGTGTGGTGCAGTGTAACATCACATACCCTTTGTACTGTTTTACGAAGATTCGTTTTTTACTATAATTGTAGTATGATTTACTGTGCTGTTTCACTATCAGTTGAGATTTGTGCTTTATTTTTCCAGTCCTCTACTGCAATACTTTGTTTGCTTGGGAATAATTTATTACAAAAAGATTGCATACTATTAGGTTGATCTTTTTTGTGTTCCAATAAGCTCAGTGATTTTCACAAAAGGGACAAAATGCAAAATGTTGATTTTTATTTGAACATATGTCTATGTACATCAATATCAATCACCAGTTCCCCATTACAATTGCATGTGAAATTAACTCTTGTTGGTCAGTTGTTTTGACAGAGCTGTTGTTGAACTTAATAATGATGTTAAAAAACAATAGCAGTAGTATTGGCAATGGTGTAATATAGTGGTATATTGTGTGTTTTTTATACTGTATACTGGTACAAGGAATTGCTGAGACCCCAGGGTACCTCTCACTTTAAACTTCATGTCTTAGTTATTCACAACACAAACTCACCCATGGACAGGTATCAGTGTGTACAACTGCTGAAATCATGTTATGTTCCAACACCTTTTATACGGGTCAGAGATGTCATTTTGACTTTAATAAGGAACCAATAATTTAGTGAAAGATGCAGTACAACCTGTATCTTTTAAGATACCGGTCTCTGTGTGTGCAGCGTTAAAAAATGTTTAATATTGTATCCTATATTCAAAAACTGAAAATGTTTGGTTGATTATACAAATTGTATGGACTGTAAAAATAGAAATGCCATTAAAGCATTTGATTTCTTTAAAAAAATCATGATTTGACTTATGTTTCTCTCTGAAGAGTGAGTGAGTAGAAAGGGAGTTGCTAGAGGAAAAACATGCAGCTCCCCTGGGTCAAACTAATGTATGTTGTAATCACAGATCTGCGAGGTTGTTTCTGAAATCAATAAAAGGGAATGTAGCTTTCACGTATCCAATACATAATATAATGTCAAATGTTAGAAAATAGCATGCATTTTGTAAGAACTTATTGTTTGGTGCTAGGGCAAAGAGAATATACCGTCTACATGTTTTGCAGGTTGAATAACAGGCCAAAGGGGGCGCTAAAAGTTAAAGGTGTATATCAACTTCCGGTGTCACGGGGTGCCTGGGAGACGGAACGCAAAAAGCGGGCATAACGAACATATCCCGTATTTTCTCCTTGTATACATTTAATTGCAAAAAATATATTGGGACGACTCAAAACACTCTTACAACATCAACAGGACGAACGGCATAACATTGGATGTGCAATTGTACTAGCATATCCTTATTCACTCGACTTGCTAGCATTAGCTCGCTACCACGACTCCTTCAAGAACAGGCCCCAGCCTGGACTTTGCTTTATCTAACTAGCTAGCACAATATAGCACGTTTTCTTCGTCAATGTTATTGTCTGTTCTTAGTGTAAACTAGAACCACATATTTATAACTCACCTGGAGTTGTTTATGTTTAAGTGTGGTTTATTTTGATATTTCTAAACCGTTGCATTGGTGGTGTGTAGTTAGTTAGCACTTAACTAAGTGTGCTGTGCACTTTTTCGCTAGCGACCGCGCCGCATTCCCGTCCATTTTACAGTCAAATAAGAAACCGCAATGTCGGATTTCGACGAATTCGAGAGACAATTGTCTGAAAACAAACAAGGTAAGCTAGCTAGTTAATCACTTATGTTTTATAACCAGGTTCTAAACTAGCTAGTTAGCAATCGCATATCATCACAACACAAGCTGGCTAATTTGCTAGTAGTAGCTGCTAGAGCCCACACTGTCGCAGTTGTCGTCCCAGGCACATTCGTATGGCAGATGTGGCTATAACTAGCTAACCCATTGTTTATAAGTAACGTTATTTCTGTCACTAACAGGCCCTGTTGTGAGCCAGCTAACGTTTTACAGCTCTGTATATGTTGAAGTTGCCAGTTACAATATGAATCATTGAAAAGTTAAAATCTCTTGGCCATACAGTAGCTATATCCTATGAAAGTAAACACGTTATCCATCCTCTTGCCCCCTGTGCTATCTTCTCTCCTCCCCATCTCTATGATCATCTGTAGCTCAGTTGGTAGAGCATGGCGCCAGGATAGTGCGCTCGATTCCCGGGAACACCCGTACGTAAAATGTATGCACGCATGACTGTAAGTCGCTTTGGATAAAAGCGTCTGCTTAATGGCATAGCTATATTATTTTAACTCAACCCCCCCTCTGTTTTTTCTTCCCCTTTCTCTCCTCCCTCCTCTGTTTTTCTCTCCTCCCTCTTCCTGTTTCACCGGTCCTTCCCTTTTCATTCCCTTCCTCCAGCGGAGAAGGACAAGGAGAACCGCCACCACCGTCGCTCCCCCTCTCGCAGCCGCAGCAGAGAGAGGAAGAGGAGGAGCAGAGACAAGGACAGACGCAGCAGGGATCGCCGTGGAGACAGCAAGGAGCGCAGACCAAGACGCAGGTAACTACAGCATTGTCTTACTACACGCTCTCAGGCGTGTAAGAGACCTAGTATGTGCAGGTACTACATACTGGTTAAAGTAGGACTATCTGCACACCTGATGAGTGAACAGTATCAGCACACTTGGAAAATAAGCAACCCATGCAACACTGACTCTACCTCGCAAAATCACTGTACCTCGCAAAAAGTTTAAATGTGAAATAGAAAGCTCTCACAAGCACAGCATTATTCCTCTGAGGTAGCCTTCCTATTGTCCTGACAGTGAGATGCAACATTGTGGAGGAAGACCCACATCTAACAGTGTTCACACATGTTGAACATTCTACACCTGGACCCTGAAGTTGTTTTAGGATGCATTTGTTTTAGTGGAAAGAGCCATAGCGTGCACTTACTAGACCTCAGTGTTCTGTAGAAGTATAGGTGCCTAATTCCAAATCGGCCCCTAGCCCTACTAGTAGATCTGAAAGGAGTGGATGTGGTGATAGCTCCAGCAGAAGGCCATATTGCTTATACCTATTCAATCCTTTAGGATCTATGTGAAGTTCATACAAACAGTGGCTTGGGGCTAATTTCGAATTGCACTCTAGTTCCACTTCCTGCAGTGGAACTACCTGTGACCAGGGTTGGAGTGAAATGAAATGTGAACTCCTTCCAATGTCATTTCAGCTCACCATCCCAACAACAACCCCAAGAGATTGCTGTAAGGTAATACAGCAAACTAACACAGAGATTGTTTCTGCATTATTACAATATCACTCCAGTCACTCTAGCTAATGATCCTTCCTCTGATTGTGTACTATCCACTCATGTTTACGGCAGCGTATTATATTCTGTGTATACCATTGTGTGGGAAGGTTTTGGTAAGGGGTTTCTATTGAGAGAGAAAAACAAAACTGTAGGGTCAACTCTGTAATAATGGGATAGATTTGTATGGCTCTGTGACATCATCCACTATTAATGTCATTTGAAAGTAGTATGTAATTTTAAATCACTTGTATTTGTAAAAGTTATAGTTAATTTAAGACATCGATTCAGAAGTGTAAACCTGGGGTTTGTCATAGACGGGTTAAAGAGAAGCTGTAGGTTTCTCTAAAGGCCTAAACGTCTTTTTAGGGCTTGACTCACAGGACATCAGAAGTAATGACTTCTATCTCTGTTTCCCCCTGCACTCCTTTGTTGGTCTTTCTGTCCTCACTCCTCCTGTCCTGTGTTCTCTCCATCAGTCGTTCCCCGCACCGTGAAACCAAGAAGAAGAACAAAGTGAAGAAGTACTGGGACGTCCCTCCTCCTGGCTTTGAACACATCAGTGTGATGCAGTACAAAGCCATGCAGGGTAAGAGGCCTCACTTCATCATCCTCTTCCTCTCTCCCTTGTTCGCTCTCCTCTCTCTATTTTCATCTACTCTATTAAACTATTTGGCCCTCGTTTGCCCTCATATTTAACTGAGTTCTTACTAATACTGTCTTGTTGTGGAAGCTGTATGAATGTTGTGTTTTAAACGTGTGACTTCTCCTCAAGCTGCGGGTCAGATCCCAGCCACGGCCCTGCTGCCCACCATGACCCCAGACGGCCTGGCCGTGACCCCCACTCCTGTCCCTGTGGTGGGAAGCCAGATGACCAGACAAGCCCGTCGGCTCTACGTGGGGAACATCCCCTTCGGCATCACAGAGGTCAGTTAGCTCCTGGATGGATGTAGGGCCGGAGATCAGAGAGATGGAGTAGGTAGATGTTGTCCCAAACCACAGATACAGGTTAACAGGGCTCTACAGTGCCACCATTTTACTCACATATGCGCCTAAATATGTAGCTGTGCGAACTGGAATTTTAATTTAGGAGGACCAGTGTGCCTAGAAAAATTAAGGATTCTAGCTTAAGGATAGGGGCTGGGCCATCTGATTCTATCAACTAGTATTTCAAGCTCAGGGGGATCAGAGAGTGAGTAGTTGTTTGGAGTGAGTCTTTTCCAGAGTATTGCCTTAATGTCTCTCCCTGTGTAGGAGTCCATGATGGATTTCTTCAACGCTCAGATGCGTCTGGGCGGTCTCACTCAGGCTCCAGGAAACCCTGTTCTTGCTGTGCAGATCAACCAGGACAAGAACTTTGCCTTCCTCGAGGTGGGTCTCAACACCCACTTGACAATACTCAATACTGGAGAATAAATATGGCCTTCCTCAATAGTCCAAAATGACCTATTTTCCTTTTATCTGAGCTGTATGAAATAATCTGACAGGTGAAAGATAACCCTCTACCTTTCTAAAACCTGGTGTGTGTTTGTCGTCCCATAGTTCCGCTCAGTGGATGAGACAACCCAGGCCATGGCGTTCGACGGTATCATCTTCCAGGGACAGAGTCTGAAGATCCGTCGTCCCCATGACTACCAGCCCCTGCCCGGCATGAGCGAGAACCCCAGCGTCTACGTGCCTGGTCTGTCCGCCTGTCTGTCTCTCCAAACATCTCTGGCTGGCTACTTCACTCTATTTAGTCCATCTTTAAACCCTTCTTAGTCTGGCCTATTTGACCTCTTCACCCCTCTATAGGATCAGACATTTATATCCTGTCTGGATGAAGGCTGTTTATATCAAAGTTTGGCTGACTTTAAATAACTTCTCTCTGTGTAGGTGTGGTGTCCACAGTGGTGCCTGACTCAGCCCACAAGCTGTTCATCGGGGGCCTGCCCAACTACCTGAATGACGACCAGGTCAGTGAGCTAACCGTAACCAGCTTAGCCTTCTAACCAGGCCACCTGGAGCCACCTACTGGGCCATATTGGGGCGTGCTGGCTGGCTGCTCACCTCCCTTGACGTCCCAGTCTGGCCCAGTGGAAACCTCCTGTTTCTTCACATGCCTAGTCAATGCTGGACGCGGTTAGCAGTGTACTGGAGTAACACTGTTGATGGAAGCCAGACAGCTTGAAAGACATCTAATAGTCTGAGATGTTAAGTGTCCAACAATGTCTCCTCCCTCGTCTGACTGTTGTCCCCTTTCCCCTGTCCCTTCATCTTTTCCCCTCTGGTCTCTATGGTAATCTCACCCCTTCTCTCCCTGTGTTCTCCAGGTCAAGGAGCTCCTGACATCGTTTGGGCCTCTCAAGGCTTTTAATTTGGTCAAGGATAGCGCCACAGGTTTGTCTAAGGGTTATGCGTTCTGTGAATATGTGGACGTCAACCTGAACGACCAGGTCACCATGGAGAATCAGGTAGCTAAGCAACCCATTCATTTTTACTTCTTCACACACCATGTAATGGTTTTGGATTTGTTCAAATTTTTACAATATCTCTTCACATTTTTGATTACTCGCGTATCAATAAAAATGTAAATGAAGGAGCATAACTCAAGATTCTTAATGTTATTAAAGGGGAACTATATTGCTCCTCAGCTTGAGGTATTATTAATAAAATGTATTATGTGTTTCACATGTAATACTTTAGCCCCCACAGCAAGACACATAACTCTTGCCAAAATGATGTCATATGGTTACACTCCCAATATTTCAGGGTAATCTGTTATGATTGAACTGAATTGCAGTAAAACATTAATAAAACCTTTGAAAATGACCATCTGTAGAAAGTAAATTCAGCTTTTGATTGTGTTCTTGAAAGGGGAAATTTCAGTTTGAAATGTGTAGAAGTGCATAGACCCTGGGGGTTGTCCCTGCTGATGATTGACAGCTGTATTAACCACTTGGAGATGCCCTGTCCCCACAGGCCATAGCAGGACTCAACGGCATGCAGCTGGGAGATAAAAAACTCCTGGTGCAGAGGGCCAGCGTGGGATCCAAGAACGCCACTCTGGTAAGACGGGGTAGAGGATATTGTGCAGAGGGGGTAGAGGATCTTGTGCAGAGGGGGTAGAGGATCTTGTGCAGAGGGGGTAGAGGATCTTGTGCAGAGGGGGTAGAGGATCTTGTGCAGAGGGGGTAGAGGATCTTGTGCAGAGGGGGTAGAGGATCTTGTATAGAGCAGAGAGAGACGAGGGGGAGCATATGTTGTGCCTTTGGGGCGACCAGTGCTGTGTCTGTTCTACTTTTCCAATCCCTCAAGGCATGTTCTGTATCAGAGGAAGGCCCAAAAATTGTCAAAGACTCCAGTCACCCAAGTCATACTGTTCTCTCTGCTACCGCACGGCAAGCGGTACCAGAGTGCCAAGTCTAGATCCAAACGGCTCCTTAACAGCTTCTACCCCCAAGCCATAAGACTGCTGAACAATTAATCAAATGGCCACCCAGACTATTTACACTGCTGCTACTCACTGTTTTTTATCTATGCATAGTCACTTTACCCCTACCTACATGTACAAATTACCTCGACTAACCTGTACCCCCGCACATTGACTCGGTAACCCCTGTATATAGCCTCGTTATTTTATTGTGTTACTTTTTATATATATTTTTTACTTTAGTTTATTTAGTAAATATTTTCTTAACTCTATTTCTTGAACTGTATTGTTGGTTAAGGTCTTGTAAGTAAGAATTTCACGGTAAGGTCTACACCTGTTGTATTCGGCGCATGTGACAAATACAATTTGATTTGATACATCAACACTACTCCAACCCTCCTCTCTCCCCCTCCAGACGAGTATAAACCAGACCCCGGTGACGCTGCAGGTGCCGGGCCTGATGAACAGCTCAATGACCCAGATGGCCGGCCTGCCCACAGAGGTGCTGTGTCTGATGAACATGGTGGCTGTGGAGGAGCTGGTGGATGAAGAGGAGTACGAGGAGATCGTGGAGGATGTGAGGGACGAGTGCAGCAAGTACGGCCAGGTGAAGAGCATCGAGATCCCCAGACCTGTGGATGGGCTGGAGGTCCCCGGCACTGGCAAGGTGAGAGAGAGGCTACTGTCTGTCTTCAGCTTTATGACTATGCCTTTTTGAATAATCTCTGTTGACACTCCTTACATTTCATCTCTATCCCTCTCTCCATCTCTCTGTCCTATAGATCTTTGTGGAGTTCATGTCGGTGTTTGACTCCCAGAAGGCAATGCAGGGTCTGACGGGCAGGAAGTTTGCCAACCGGGTGGTGGTGACTAAATACTGCGACCCTGACGCCTACCACCGCCGAGACTTCTGGTAGAGGATGACGACAGATGAAGAGAGCGAGGGGGGTGGATTGCCCTATTTCAAATCGACCCTTAACCCCCCACCACCTAGGCACTTGTTTTGACCTGAAAAGGTGTGAGCGACATAATGTTTCACCTAGTCCATCAGAAGGCCAGGTGGAGCTAAGAGAAATACCCGGGGGTAGGGGCTAGGGATCCATTTGGTATTGGGCAAAAGAAGGGAGAGATGGAGAAAAAAGGGTTTGTATTCTGACGAAAACCAAGAGGGTCATGGGAGGGAGGGGGGGGGGTTAAAAGATTTTTGCGAATTGTGTGTCGTAACAGGTCAGGGGTAAATGATTTTTATACTTTGTGAGGAAGGGATGGGGTCATTCTGGCGGGGGGGGGGGGGTGGAACTTGCCACACCTTATGGTTTGTATTTAAATGGTGGGAGCCCGTTTTAAGTACTTTAGGAAGGTGAGCAGAGGAGAGGGGGAAGTGGACTGGTCTACTTTATAAGAGTGGTGGATGGATAGAGGAGTATTCATCATTTCATTGGGGGAGGAGGAGCAGGGGGTGGTGACATTTTTGATTTGACCAACCAATGTAGATAACATGATCAGATTCTTGTTGAGAAAAGGGGGAAGGAAAGGAGGATGTGTTAGAGAAGATGGGAAAGCTATTGACAGGATAGGATGGAAAGCTATTGACAGGATATAATGGAAAGCTATTGACAGGATAGGATGGAAAGCTATTGACAGGAATGGCCTCGTTTTGGGATTTTTCTTTCTTCTCAGATTTTAACCTTTACATTTCCTCATGTTTATTTTCTTTCATGTACATCAGCCTAAACCCATCCCTCTCTCCCTCACCCTGTGTGTGTGTAGAGAGAGGGGGAGAAGCTGTAACCATACATAACCAAACCAACTCCAATGTCATATTGGACTAATTTATCGGAATATCAGCTGTTGTGGTTCCAATACTGTATATTTACACTGTCACACACCTTGTATTTAGTCACCAGGGCCAGAGTTTGAGTTTGAGTACCGTACATTTAGAAAACTGCCTGTCTCTTTGTTGTATTTTTTATTTTTGGGATTGAAACCTTTCATCTAGTGTAAATTTATCCATCACCATTTTTAGCAGGCAAAATAATTCTGTCCCTACACCCTTACCCATAAGAGAGGGACTGGGAGAGGGGAAAGGCAGTGAGTGAGAAAAGATAGGCTTTTGAAGTTCTGAATTGTTATTTCTGAATTGTGAGTGGTAAATATAGGATTGGTGTTGAGTAGGGCTTAATCTGATTCTGATTAAAAGCTTTAATGTTATTTTTCATGTCACATTAGAGAATAGAATATATGGAGTACTCCATGTCTGTGCTTAGCAAGTTTGTCTATACATGGAGTCATTTCATGGCTTTGGTATTTTCAGGTAACACTGATTTGAGATTGTAGTCTATATTCAAGTTACTATTGTATTGCTTTGTCTGGAATATGAGTTTGTTTTTGTTATTCTTTTTTGCTTCCTGTTTCAAACCTACCTATAGAATATTGGACCGCTCATACAGAAATCTCTCTTTGGCCCGGGTAGCGTTTGTGTAACGTCTCACCTCAGCAGACAAAATAAAGGTATAAAGACTAATACCAATGGCTCCTGTTCTACTGCCCACAAATAGAATGCAGTATTTACTGTGGCCAAGTTATCAGGCTTTTAGGAACATAAAGTCTGGTACTATTGTGTGATTGTACACCTTGTCTGTTTAGTTAAGGAATGGGTCTGTTGTCACAAAGGATGAGATGGAGATGTGAAACAAATTCTTTTTTAACTGAAGGGGAGTGCAGTCTTTTGGACAGGTTCTCAAGGGTTCTATTCAATTGGAATGTTCAACAAAGATGTTCATAGTCTTCAAAAGGTTGTCCCCTCAAGTGTATATATGGTCTCACTTCTTCCTCATCTCTCCTGCAACCTTTGTCATTACTACTCCAAGGACCACCGGTTACACTATGGGTTTGAGAGGGAGTTTCCCATGATGCTTTCGGTTCAGACCTAGAGTTGGGCAGTACCAGTGAAATGTGACTTCCGCCCTTCCTGAAATTTGCTTTTTAAATGTTACCATGTCATTTAATTTCAACTTAATTTTTTTGGGAAAATGTGATTTCTTAAGTGAATTAATGGAATTAAAAATGGCTAAAACCACATGTAGTTTATAACAAGTGTGGATCTTTCATTAGTTTCTCATTTTCAAAAGTTTTAAACTGGATTTCTGTTGCTCTTGGGGTTTCTGGTTATACACACTGAAAAGCAGGAGTTGACTAACAGTGCAAATAGACTGGGCTTGTATATTTACATTTAAGTCATTTAGCAAATGCTCTTAGCCACAACTTACAGTAGTGAGTGCATACATTTTCATACTGGTCCCCAATGGGAATGAAACCCACAACCCTGGCATTGTAAGCGCCTTGCTCTACCAACTGAGCCACACGGGACAGTTTTTTTTCATTGAAATGTCAAGGTGACAGGTTCAGAACCACAGTACACATAAACCTCAGCTGACTGGTCAGCAGTATTCATGGTTAGTGGCTTGCCTAAGTGGCATGAAAACAGGTTGACACTGCAGCCTTCAGTACTCCCTCTATACTCACCTGGGGCTTATTCAGGAGGGAACAGCTACAGAAATGTATAGTGCAGCACAGACATGACACTGTCATGGGAATAATGAACCGTGTCTATATATCCCATCTCTGCAATGTTGCACTCTACTGAGGAAGGCCAGCAATATGGTGCAATCCCTCCAGACCAGGCAGGTAGATGTTGCCAGAAAGCACATCATCTAAAATCAGTTTACCCACCCCTAATCCAATCCCAAGAGGGAAAACAAGACTGGCCTTAGATCGGTGTATAGGATCAACTTCATCCTACTCCAATGGAAATCAGGATAGAGACCCAGGGAAGATCTCAATTGCATGCTCCTCGCATCCTCTCCTCTTCTCCTCCTCAAAACCCATTGGATGAGAAAGCCAGAGGTCCCGCCCCTCTGACCTCCTCCAATAGGTTTTGAGAAGGAGATGAGAGAGGACGCGAGGAGTATGCAATTGAGATCTTTCCCCAGTAGCCCAGCCGTAGACAGGTCTGGTGCTGCAGTAGTAGATCCATGCACTGCTGCCCTCTAGTGGGAAGTCTAATCCACTGGCGCTTGTCATTGTCATTCCACACCACGCCTCCCCACTGATCTTCATTCAGAAAGATGGAACGCTGCGCTAGCACAGGGAGAGAGCAACACTAAACACTACACCAGGGGATGGAGGCTGTGTGTGAAAGCAGAGCACAATTTGTAAATGCATAGGTTTAAGGTTTAGATTTCTCTTGTCATGACATTACAGAGCAGTAGATCAAATAAACACGTAGTCTTTTCTTTCTCTTCTATGCAGTCCTTAGTTCACCTATAGCATATCTTCTAGATGACATCATGCAGTGTGCGTGCTTGCATGAGTGTGTATGCGTGTGCGTGAGTGTGTTTGTGTGTGTGAGCGTGAGTGTGAGCATCACTCCGGTGGTTACAGGAGGACTTTGAGTGATGTGTAAATGAGAGTATGAGGCTGTTCACATCAGCATACAGTGTATTATTAAAGACCAGAGATTATCTGTGGATAAACACTGTCTTCCTATCAGACCATATGAGGGAGGAGGTGAGGTAAAGCCATACAGCGGGGACAGTGAGGCACGGTACCAGAGTCCACTCTAGAGCAACCAGAAAAAAGTTAAGAAATAAAGCACACAAGTATAATTATATTTTGACAGGGCAGCTAATTTGCAGAGGCAATATTAAATACTGTAGGCCACCTTTTTATGATTGATACCACATTAATTCAATGCATTTCAATGGCAAATCTGACCCCCCCCCCATCCCCCATGCCCTGCGTGTTTCTGGACCCTTGCCCACCCACCCCAGGTGCTAGGAAAATTAATCCAGTTGAATGGACGTTCCCTGGCTATTCATCAAGCCGAGACGTCCACCGTATTGTCCCATTTCTGAAAATAATCACCACCTACAGAACAAGCGTGTTGATATGCTGCAATCCCAGGAAGTGGTTGGGAACTGAGATGGGGGGGGGGTATTCCTGTCAGCCCCATACCTCATTCGCTGAATTCCCCGTGACTCTCTGCCACTCGATCTCTCGCTCCCTCTCTCTACCTCAATTAGCTTTCCCTCTCGGTGTCGCTACTCTCTCTTTCTCTCTCTCTCCCTACCTTCATCTCTCTCTCTCTCTCTCTCTCTCTCTCTCTCTCTCTCTCTCTCACGTGTCATGTGTAACCCAAACTGTGAGCAATACAGCAGAGCAGGAGCTGGGTCATGAGGAAAGCTTCCATGAGACCAGGCTGGACCTCTATCTACACTCTGCTTCTCTAACGGGATGTTCTGTACTATAGAACACTGACTGGGGTTCTGACTGTGCATTAGAATAGTGATTATGGTTATAATATTCTTTAGAATGTTGAATGGGGTTCCACTCTGCTTTAGAACAACGACTATGGTTCTTCTGCTCTACGGGAAATCAAAGTGTATAGTTGTGTTTCTCCAACACACTCTCTTTTTCTACAACCAACTTATTTTCCCACACCTTTCCACCACTTATTTTCCTTTGTAGCGCTCTCTTTCCAGTGTGTTTCTGTCTGTCATTCTGTTAGTTGCAGTTTGTGTCACGCTCCCTTTCTTTCCTTCTGTCATTTTCCCTAATCCCTCTCTGTCTGCTCTGACTCTCTCTCTCTCTGTCTCTCTCTCTGTCTCTCTTTCTCTCTCTCTCTCGCTCCCTCTCTCTCTCTCTCTCGCCCTCTCTCTCTCGCCCTCTCTCTCTCGCTCTCTCTCTCTCGCTCTCTCTCTCCCTCTCTTCTCTCTCTCTGATTAACAGTGTGTTATGGATTGCTGTGAAGTGTTGTCCTGGCCTCCACTCATATAAACAGAGGCCCCTCCTTTGCCACCACTTAATGTCATTAACAGGTGGCTTTCTAAAATAGACACACACGCACTCGCACACACACTCACACACACACACACACGCACGCACGCACACATACACACACACACGCACAGACACGAACGGACACATGCATGGACACACGGCTAGACTGACACAGATACTACTGTTTTTACCCACACAAACGTCGCCTGTCGTCATTGCGGAAGACCACTCATAGCAATGCCTTTGCACAAAGGTTTTTATCCGGGTGCATGTTCACACTCAACGCTACATTTTGTGACAAAACCATAAAGATTTCAAACAAATGTAGTGTTGAGTTTGAACATGCACCCGGATACACACAAACACACATTATGAGGGGCAGAGGCCAGTAGACAGAGTTAATCAACTACAGAACCAACCTACCCAGCAGTCCCTCCTCTTACTCTTTCCATATCCTTTACTTACCCCAACCCCGTAACACACACTGACTATCTCTCTCTCTCTTTAGCCCCATTTATACCTGGTTTTAACAACATGCATCCTTTGTCCTGATATTGTCCACATTCTGATTGTGCCCACATTTTTAGACAGGTGTAGACAATTAAAAGACGCATTGCAATCTGATTGTGATCAGATCTTTCTGACCACCCCCCGGAGGTAGTCAAGCATGCATTGTGTCTGGATATCTTACAATTGTAGACAGATCTGGACAGAGAAACCATTTAAATCATCATTACCCCACCTTCTAAAATCATTGACAGGTGCCACCATTGAATTATGGCATCAATATATGTCTAAAATAAATAAATAAATATGATTTTGAAAGAATATCTCTCAGTTAATTTGCATACAGGGAGTGACCAGGAAATCTGGAAATGTGGGCGCAATCAGAAAGTAGACAATCAGGACAAAGGTCCCATGTTAGCACCAGGTGTAAACGTCTCTCTCTCTCTCTCTCTCTCTCTCTCTCTCTCTCTCTCTCTCTCTCTCTCTCTCTCTCTCTCTCTCTCTCTCCCTCTCTCTACCCCCCCCCCCTCTCTCTCCCTCCCTCTCACACACTCCCTCGCCAACACTCCCAACTTTCCCCTCTCTATTAAGTTTCAAGCTTCTTTCCATCTGAAGTGAACAACATAGCCCAAACAGGTCAGACTTACTTTTCTCATGGTTGTTATTGGTGCTGTGCTTTAGATCGTGCTTATAGCTGCATGTTGTGCTGGTTGCAGTAATGGTGGTTAAGTAGGAGAGAATGTTGCTGATTTTCACAAACAGATGTGTTTTCTCCTAACATGTGTGACCAGTTAGAGTCTGCCGTTTTAGTTCTACTGCTCAACAAGTAATGGACAGATTATTTTGAAAGGAAACATTTCTGCAGTCGAACTTAGTTTTGATGGTTGTGTACAACGCTTAGGTTTGATCTGATTTGTGGAACAGTTTGCTGTGTTATTTTGCCTATTTTGATTGTCATGAGGAAATCATGGACATGGCACAGCAAAAAGTGACATCTAAGCAAGCCTAAATATCTTATGTTGAGTGATAATTCACTTAAAATTAGTGTTTCTTGTCTTACCAAGCTAAAATATATTACGTCATTGGCAGATATTTGGCTTCTTTTAACCTAAAAAAGGCTAAATATAAGTAATTTATCTTATTTGAAGATATATTTTCGAGATATTGAATCGTTTTATTAAAATAAGCAAAATGATCTGCCAATGACGTTAGATAATTTTGCTTAGTAAAAAAAACAAATTTTCAGTGATTTATCCCTCAATATAACATATCTAGGCTTGCTTATATTTCACTTTTTGCAGTGCATGATGTAATGGAATATCCATCCATGTGAGGTGTGTGTAATTCTACAGCTCCTAATTCAACTATCAGCAGCTACTCTTGTTATTTTCCATTAGATTCAGTGATATGCCTTATGCTATAGATATAAACTATAGGTTACTCAATGTGCAAGATAAGTTTTGGTCTAGCCATTGGAAATATCTGATATAAATGTCTCTTTATTTTGGTTCTGTGGGCCGTACCATAGGGAGCGCATGATGCTATTTGACAGATAGTAAGTGATCCCTTCCACTGTGGTTGCCAGGTCTGTCAGAAGGACGTCTCAGTCCACCATTTTAAAAAGGGCAGAGAGTATTCAGCCTTTTGAGTTTGGCTTGGAGCTATAGATTGATAGCAGAGTACACACCTACTGGATTAATACACAGCAATGGAGGCTGGTGGGAGGAGCTATAGGAGGACAGGCTCATTGTAATGGCTGGAATGGAATAAATGGAACGGTATCAAATATATGGAAACAACGTTTGACTCCGCTCCTTTAATTCCATTCCAGCCATTACAATGAGCCCGTCCTCCTATAGCTCCTCTCACCAGCCTCCACTGCTACACAGAGTATCCACACTCCTGCCCCACAGTGCTATCACATCTAGATGGTCACTCAATGGACACTTTCATCCAAAGCAACTTACAAACTCACACGCTTAAACTGAACTGCTGTCTCCCATCCTTGAATGCCCACTGCCCCAACTCAACCCTTGCCCCTAACCCCTCAGGCACTTGTGTAGATGTTAGAGGATTGTATGTATTAGCAATATACCAACTTACCCTCTTATAGGCTAGGAGGACTTTTCATCAGTTTTACTTACGTGCGTAAAGGGTAGAGGCAATGGGTTGATTTAGGATCGCAGTTTGATAGTAGAGAACCCCCCACACACACTCACACACACACCCCTTGGTGTCCTGTCACTCACTCTGTTTAATCTTCACCACTAAGCTCCTCTCCCTCATCTCCTCCTAGATGTGTTTGGAACAACAGAAACTATACAGAGAGCTAGGACACACACACACGCACGCACACACACGCACGCACACACACACACATGGGCAAAAGATTCATGGTATCTGCGGGTATACATGATACATGTACACCGAGTGTACAAAACATTAAGAACACCTGTTCTTTCATTGAAATAGACTGACCAGGTGAATCCAGGTGAAAGCTATGATCCCTTATTGATGTCACTTGTTAAATCCACTTCAATCAGTGTAGATGAAGGGGATGAGACAGGTTTAAGCCTTGAGACAATTGAGACATGGATTGTGTATGTGTGCATTTGAGCGGGGTATGGTAGTAGGTGCCTGGCGCACCGGTTTGAGTCAAGAACTACACCTTTGCTGGGTTTTTCACGCTCAACAGTTTCCCGTGTGTATCAAGAATGGTCCACCACCCAAAGGACATCCAGCCAACTTGACACAACTGCGGGAAGCATTGGAGTCAACATGGCCCACCATCCCTGTGGAACGCATTTCGACACCTGGTAGAGTCCATGCCCCGACTTGAGGCTGTTCAGAGGGCAAAAGTGGGTGTAACTCAATATTAGCAAGGTGTCCTAATGTTTTGTACACTCAGTGTAATGCAGAGTATTACTTTCAGAGGGGTATTAGTAGCAACCTGTTATCTACCAGGCTCAGCGAGGATCTGTAGGGGCTGACCCAGGGATACCTGGCTGGGATATTGGCAGACGTCTGGGTGAAAACAGTAGCCTTTCCATTATGGCTGGCTCATACTCTCTCTGGTGCATAGGACAGCAACAAAGAATTTCCAATCCTAGCAGTTTATTGATAATCAGAAACGATTTGGTGGGTGCTTATATTTGTACTATTTCACACATGAATTGGAATTGTTTTGCATATCCCAACTCCCCCTGAGACACCTTCAGATAGTGGGGTCACAGCCAGCCATTGTCAACAGCAACCCTGGAGCATTTAAAGTTAAGTGCCTTGCTCAAAGGCACATTTACAGATTGTTTTTTCACCTTGTCAGTGCAGGGATTCAAACTAGCGACCTTTCAGTTACTGTCCCAATGCTCTAACCACTAGGCAGCAACAAAGGATCTGTACTCCAGGCAGACTGGCAGTTTTATCCACAGAGAGGTCAGTGTTGGCCCAGTCAAGAGTTTCTTTCCCACCTGAATTTGATCCCCCTTTTTAGGGAATCATCATCTCTCTTGTTATGGATGGGGACAGAGTGTTTTGTTGTTGTTAACCGTTTGCTTCTTTTTTTCTTTTTCTTCTTTCCTTATTTTTATTCAGGGGGTGTTCCAGAACAATTAGACGCCATCCTTCCTCGTCACCCTGTCCTCTCCTCCTCCTTTCTCTCCATCACTCCGTTCTCCCATCTTTTCTACTAACATACTGAACCGTCCATCTCTCTCTCCCCTTTCCTCCTCCCTGTTCTCTCCGTTCTCCATTCTTCATCCCCACAGCAACCTCTGAACTGCTGTTATCTGTCTCTCTCTACCTTCCTCCTGTCTTCAACCTTCCTTTCTTATTTTTTGGGTTTGAGTTCACCTCCCTTCAATTATTTCCCTGCTTCTCTCTCTTCACCCTCTTTCCCGTCCTCTTCCCTCTTTCCCTCCCTTCCTCTCTCCATCCGGCCTCTCTCGGCCTCTGGTAGAGGTCACCATGTGGTCCAACTATATTGTCCAGCCGGAGGAGGATGGCCGTATGGGGGTGGTAGGAGCTGGGGCCCATGGGGGCCTAGCAGGGGTGAAGGGAGGGGGGCGTGCTCCAAGGCGGAACCCTAGGATGAGTGACAGCCAGGAGGGGAAGATCAAGCTGGCGTTCTTCGTGGCCATTGTGGGTGTGACCCTGACAGTGCTGGGGGTGGGGACAGAGTTCTGGGTGGAGCTGGCCATGCCCAAGACCTGGAGCAACAACCAGACATGTCAGACGGCCCACTACGGCCTGTGGAAGGGGTGTACCCGCACCCTGTGGGTAGACGACATCGACCCCGAGAGAGAGAGCTGCGGCCCCACCGACCTGCCCGGAGGTGAGGAACCTGTCTGTCTGTCTGTCTGTTGCATTAGGGCAGGCCATGAGTTGATTTTGGGGACAGGCTAGGTAGCATCCTTAGTGTCTCATTTTGATGACAACACTGTAAAAATGGGTTCTAACTAGAGGGAGTAAAGCTACGACCGGAAGTGACTTTTTCGTAGCAGGTTAGGAGAATTTACGTAGCAGGTTAGGATAATTATCGTGGCAGGTTAGGAGACTTAGGTTAAGGTTAGGAGAAGGGTTAGGGTTAGCTAAAATGCTCTCCTAACCTGCTACGAATAGTAACTTCCGGTCGTAGCTGTACTCCCTCAAATCACAACCGCAGAGATGGAGGTAACGATGGAGGTAACTGGGGCACTGATTTCATGACCAACCCCTGATCGCACTGCAGTGCTGTGTGTGTTAGTTAGGGCTTCCTCCCCTTCCTCTGCACTGATCTGTAAGCATAGGATAGGTGGAAGCAGTGTGGTGGATGTCTCCCAGGAATTTGCATCAGTGCAGCAGCAATATGTGGGTCTGTGTATGCATGTGTGTATTGTATGTATGCGTGTGTGTGCGCTTATGTATGTGTGTGTGCGCGCGTGCTTATGCAAACGTGTGTGAATAGGAGGCGTGTATGCCAGCCTTGCTGTGTGTGTATCTGGGTCATCCTACAGATAATGTGCAAATTGAGTCCTTAAAGGAATACTGCTTTGAAATGGAGCCAGTCTGAATTTGACAAATCTGAATGTGGCTACTGTGGTCTGTCAGTTAGTTATCTAGCTATAGGTATCAGATTTCTATGATCGCTGGTGAGTCAGAAAAGGATGTTTACAGTGTCCTTGTAAAATCCAACCTTTCAGTGAGTTTATATAAGACAGATGCTTCCCTTTTACTGCATAATGGAGCTTTTCCTTTTGGAATATTTCAATGGATCATTATTATTATTATTTAATTTCAATTCCTTTCAGTTTTAGAATAAATATATTTCTGATATTGATTGCAGGAATTCCTCATTATATCAGTGTTTTTCATGAAATCTTCTCTATAAAAAACAAAAATGATATGTTTTAAATTTCAACAAAAGAAAGCTAATAAATTAAGATTTTCAGCCACTTACTCCATGCTGTACTGTTACGTTCCCCCATGTAAGTCTCTTATCTGTGGAATGACCCGTTTCTGTCTGTAGGGATCGTTCAGTGGTGGATGAATGCAGGTATTAAAGCACTAGTCCCACAGAGGGGGCCAGACAGGGCCTACGGTAGGATGAGGGAGCCATCTCCTGTATTCATGCTTTATCTGCCAGAACAGTCTGATATTCAGCCAGGCTGGGAGTGGTTGGCTGTGATACACTAGCAATTATGTATGTATTGTTTTGAATAGGATGTATATATATTTTACATTGTATAAATATAAAATTGCAATATTTCATTTTGCAGTCTTGAGTTTGCTTGTTTTATTAGGATGGATGAGTCCTATGAATGTTCATATCTATTACAATGTAGATGACACGCTATATCCATTTGGTGCGTTGTTTATCAGCCTCAGGTATTTTAGAGGGCTGATTCACCTTGGATGTCTAGTCGATAAACATCTATGTCTGACTCACCGTGTGTGTCTTGTCTAGCAGATAAACATCTGTGTTTACGATGACGGTCTGTGTGTGTTGGAGTAGATTCAGTATCTATTCTGACACTTCCTCGTCTCCTCGCGTCTAAACACTGTTGGCCCACAGCGCCTGACAGACAGGCTCTGCTGTGTGTGTGTGTGTGTGGACTCCTCATGTTTGGAGAAAAACAACAGTTTCTCCGTCTGTGCATCTCTATTTCACATTCATGTTTCCATGCCCCTGGCGCCTGTCCCTGGGAAACAACCTCACAGTCATTCTCTGTCACTGTCTGTCAGCGCCAGACCAACTAATACATCATACATCACTCACTGCTACTGTACATTACCATAACCTCTGACTAACTGACTGAGCTGCTCAGAGGTGGAGAGGTGGAGAGGTGGAAAGGTGGAAAGGTGGACAGGTGGACAGGTGGAGAGGTTGAGAGGTAGATCTCACTATAAATCTGTGGTCATAATTTACAGGTTGCCTATAATGCACCAGTGTTGCAGACAGAATAGCATTGAGGTTGATAGGAGACTCTGCTGTATGTGTTTGTACTTGTGTGTGTGTGTGTGTGTGTGTGTGTGTGTGTGTGTGTGTGTGTGTGTTTGGTTTTACTATCCTTGTGGTGACGAGAAGTCGAACAAGTGGGGACATTTCGCCGGTCCCCACAAGGAAAAAGTATATTTTAGGCTTAGGTTTAGGTTTAGGTTTAGGTTTAGGGTTAGGGTTAGGGTTTGGGGTTAAGGTTAAGGTTAAGGTTAAGGTTAAGGTTAGGGTTAGTGTTAGGGTTAAGGTTAGGGTTAGGGTTAGGGTTAGGGTTAGGTATAGGGTTAGGGTTTAGGGAAAATAGGATTTTGAATGGGAATAAATTATTTGGTCCCCACAAGGATAGTAAAACAAACATATTTGTGTGTGTGTGTGTTTGTGTGTGTGTGTGGTGTGTGTATGTGTGTGTGTTGTGTGTGTGTGTGTGTGTGTGTGTGTGGCTGTGGCTGTGGCTGTGTGTGTGGCTGTGTGTTTGTGGGTCCCTCTGCATCTCTGACCGAACAGAGTATGCAGGGGTGACTACTAGAGAGGGGGATCGAGGAAGAGCAGCAGAGGATGAGAGATATACCCCAGCTGGACAAGATACAGTGCCTTGCAAAAGTATTCATCCCTCTTGGCGTTTTCCCTATTTTTTTGCATTACAACCTGTAATTTAAATGGATTTTATTTGGATTTCATGTAATGGACATACACAAAATAGTCCAAATTGGTGAAGTGAAATGAAAAAAATAACTTGTTTCAAAAAATTCAAAAAAATTAATAACGGAAAAGTGGTGCGTGCATATGTATTCACCCCCTTTGCTATGACGCCCCTAAATAAGATCTGGTGCAACCAATTACCTTCAGAAGTCACATAATTAGTTAAATAAAGTCCACCTGTGTGCAATCTAAGTGTCACATGATCTGTCCCATGATCTCAGTATATATACACCTGTTCTGAAAGGCCCCAGAGTCTGCAACACCACTAAGCAAGGGGCACCACCAAGCAAGCGGCACCATGAAGACCAAGGCGCTCTCCAAACAGGTCAGGGACAAAGTTGTGGAGAAGTACAGATCAGGTTTGGGGTTATAAAAAACTATCAGAAACTTTGAACATCCCACTGAGCACCATTAAATCCATTATTAACAAATGGAAAGAATATGGCACCACAACAAACCTGCCAAGAGAGGGCCGCCCACCAAAACTCAAGGACCAGGCAAGGAGTGCATTAATCAGAGAGGCAACAAAGAGACAAAAGATAACCCTGAAGGAGCTGCAAAGCTCCACAGCGGAGATTGGAGTATCTGTCCATAGGACCACTTTAAGCCGTACACTCCACAGAGCTGGGCTTTACGGAAGAGTGGCCAGAAAAAAGCCATTGCTTAAAGAAAAAAATAAGCAAACACGTTTGGTGTTCGCCAAAAGGCATGTGGGAGACTCCCCAAACATATGGAAGTAGGTACTCTGGTCAGATGAGACTAAAATTGAGCTTTCTGTCCATGAAGGAAAACGCTATGTCTGGCGCAAACCCAACACCTCTCATCACCCTGAGAACACCATCCCCACAGTGAAGCATGGTGGTGGCAGCATCATGCTGTGGGGATGTTTTTCATCGGCAGGGACTGGGAAACTGGTCAGAATTGAAGGAATGATGGATGACGCTAAATACAGGGACATTCTTGAGGGAAACCTGTTTCAGTCTTCCAGAGATTTGAGACTGGGACGGAGGTTCACCTTCCAGCAGGACAATGACCCTAAGCATACTGCTAAAGCAACACTTGAGTGGTTTAAGGGGAAACATTTAAATGTCTTGGAATGGCCTAGTCAAAGCCCAGACCTCAATCCAATTGAGAATCTGTGGTATGACTTAAAGATTGCTGTACACCAGCGGAACCCATCCAACTTGAAGGAGCTGGAGCAGTTTTGCCTTGAAGAATGGGCCAAAATCCCAGTGGCTAGATGTGCCAAGTTTATAGAGACATACCCCAAGAGACTTGCAGCTGTAATTGCTGCAAAAGGTGGCTTATATTCTTATTTGTTGTTTGTTTCACCCCAAAAATTATTTTGCATCTTCAAAGTGGTAGGCATGTTTTGTAAATCAAATGATACAAACCCCCCAAAAATCCATTTTAATTCCAGGTTGTAAGGCAACAAAATAGGAAAAATGCCAATGGGGTTGAATACTTTCACAAGCAACCGTATACAGTACCAGTCAAAAGTTTGGACACACCTACTCATTCAAGGGTTTTTCTTTATTTTTGCTATTTTCTACATTGTAGAATAATAGTGAAGGCATCAAAACTATGAAATAGCACAAATGGAATCATGTAGTAACCAAAAAAGTGTTAAACAAATCAAATATTTGAGATTTGAGATTCTTCAAATAGACACCCTTTGCCTTGATGACAGCTTTGCACACTCTTGGCATTCTCTCAACCAGCTTCATGAGGTAGTCACCTGGAATGCATTTCAATTAACAGGTGTGCCTTCTTACAGAAGATAGCCCTATTTGGTAAAAGACCAAGTCCATATTATGGCAAGAACAGCTATAATAAGCAAAGAGAAACAACAGTTCATCATTACTTTAAGACATGAAGGTCAAGAACCATGAAAGTTTATTCAAAGTGCAGTCGCAAAAACCATCAAGCGCTATGATGAAACTGGCTCTCATGAGGACTCCCACAGGGATGGAAAACCAAGAGTTACCCCTGCTGCAGAGGATAAGTTCATTAGAGTTACCAGCCTCAGAAATTGCTGCCCAAATAAATGCTTCACAGAGTTCAAGTAACAGACACATCTCAACATCAACTGTTCAGAGGAGACTGTGTGAATCAGGCCTTCATGGTTGAATTGCTGCAAAGAAACCACTACTAAAGGACACCAATAAGAAGAAGAGACTTGCTTGGGCCAAGAAACACGAGCAACCGCTGTGGTTTTGTGAGACGCGGTGTGGGTGAGCGGATGATCTCTGCATGTGTATTTCCCACCGTAAAGCACGGAGGTGTTATGGTGTGGGGGTACTTTGCTGGTGACACTGTCTGGGATTTATTTAGAATTCAAGGCACACTTAACCAGCATGGCTACCACAGCATTCTGCAGCGATATGCCATCCCATCTGGTTTGGGCTTAGTGGGACTATCATTTGTTTTTCAACAGGACAATGACCCAACACACCTCCAGGCTGTGTAAGGGCTATTTTACCAAGAAGGAGAGTGATGGAGTGCTGCATCAGATGACCTGGCCTCCACAATCACCCAACCTCTAACCAATTGAGATGGTTTGGGATGAGTTGGACCTCAGAGTGAAGGAAAAGCAGCCAACAAGTGCTCAGCATATGTGGGAACTCCTTCAAGACTGTTAGAAAAGCATTCCAGGTGAAGCTGGTTGAGAGAATGCCAAGAGTGTGCAAAGCTGTCATCAAGGCAAAGGGTGGCTACTTTGAAGAATCTCAAATATAAAATATATTTTGATTTTTGTAACACTTTTTTGGTTACTACATGATTCCATATGTGTTATTTCATAGTTTTGATGTTATCACTATTATTCTACAAGGTAGAAAATTGTTAAACAATTCAATAAAACCCTTGAATGAATAGGTGTGTCCAAACTTTTGACTGGTAGTGTATATATATAAAAACAGAGAGAGAGAGAGAAGGACAGAGAGGAAGAGTGTCTGTCTAATGCAGTATTAACCAAGCCCTTGTGATCCTCTCTCTCTTTTCCTCCCTTCATCTCTTTCACCTCCCCCTCCATCTGTCTCCCTCTTTCTATTCGTTCTCACCCCCCCTCTATCACTCCCTATCTCTCCTTCCCCCTCTTTCTCATGCTCTCTGTGTTCTCTCGCTCTCTCCTTCTCTGTCTCTGCCTCCCTACACATTGCCTTGCTTTCTCTCCTCCCCCTCCACCTGCCCCCTCTTTCTATCTCTCCTTCTCCCTCTCTTCCACCCCTCCCCCCTTTCTCTCCTTCTCTCTCGTGGCACCATATGTGTGTGTATGTGCTGTGGATGTGGGACTGTGTGGAGCAGTGAGCAGTGTTTCTCATGGTGCTCTAGCTCCCGGTACACAGCAGATAAAAATAGGACTTTATGCCTAGGAGGACAGAGGGGATGGATGGATAGGGAAACACATTGCTGAGGACCAGTAATATACTGTGTGTGCGTGTGTGTGTGCGTGTGCGTGTGCGTGATGTTCCCTCTCTGTTTCTCTCCTCAGAATCCAACTGCACTTACTTCAGATTCTTCACCAATGGAGACAACGCAGTCATATTTAAGAAGACGACCCACAAGAGTAAGTCAGCATCTTAAGTCTCGCCTCCTCTTCCTCCTCCTCCTCCTCCTCCTCTTCCTCTCCCTCTCCCCCTCTCTCTCTTTCTCACGGTGCTGTATTTATCCCCTGTGACGTTTTCTCACTCTCAGATGCACAATACTCACTGAGGTGTAACTCTGCCCTCCCTCCCTCCCTCCCTCCCTCCCTCCCTCCCTCCCTCCCTCCCTCCCTCCCTCCCTCCCTCCCTCCCTCCCTCCCTCATTCTCCCCTGTCTACCTCTCCAACACCTCTTCACTCTTTCTCTAACCACTTCTCCCTCTATTTACTTATTCTCCATCCCCCTCTCCCCCTCCCCTCTCTCTCCCAGACCTGAACATAGCGGCTGCTATCCTAGCAATGATAGCGCTGTCTATGATGGTGATGGGTGCTATCTGTATCACCATGTCCCTCAGTAAAGGAGTGCCCTTCTTCCTCAAGCCCGCCTCCTTCTGCTTCATCCTATCAGGTAAGGGGAAATAGACTACAAAGAGAGCAGACACTATTCTGGGAGTAGACTTAGACTTAGACCCTCAACAGTCTCTCTCTCTCTCTCTCTCTCTCTCTCTCTCTCTCTCTCTCTCTCTCTCTCTCTCTCTCTCTCTCTCTCTCTCTCTACCTCTCTCTCTCTCACCCCTCCCACCTCTCCCTCCCACCTTCCTACTCCCTCTCCCCCCTTCTCCCTCCCTCCCTCCCGCCCTCCCACAGGTCTACTGGTCCTGCTGTCTATACTTGTGTTTCACCAGTCAGTGCTGGCCCTGTTGTCATCTGACCACTCCATACCGCTCCACCACGAGCTCTCCTGGTCTGTGGCCTGTGTGGGCTTCGCTGGGGCCATCCTCATCGTGGGGGGGATCCTTTTCCTGATCCTTTCCCTCCCCTACAGCCCCTGGGAGAAATGTCTGCCTCAACGCAACAACAGCGCCACCTAGCACATGGGAGGCCCAAAAGCGCAATCAAACTCCAGTCCTCGAAGGATCACAATCAAACTCCAGTCCTCGAAGGATGCACTGTCTGCTGGTTTTAATTGTCAGGTATAAATCAGACACTGATTTGAACAACTACAACCAGTAGACACTGATGCCATCTAGGAGTTGAGTTGTAGACCCCTTTTTATTTAGCCAGTTGTTGATGACAAACTAGATGGACTGACTGACTGACAGACTGACAGACTGACTGAAAGACTGACTAACTTGTAGGGCTACACGGTGTTTACTTAATGCAATAACAATTATACTCACTAACTGTGCCTATAACTCTACAAGCCTGCCCAAAAGCCTGTGACCTTACGAGAAAACACTACGTAGACCAGAACCTTCCCACTTTTTGACATCGTGACCAACCTAAAGCTTTTAGAAGTTTCTGGTGACCTACCAAAGAACAAGCAATGTTTCTAAGCAGAACCCAGTCTTTACCAGGGGGGTAATGCTGGGTTAAACAAAACCAAAGCATGGATTGCTGTCTTAACTTGTCCATTGACTGCTAAGAGGGTAAGGAAACCAATGTCATTTTGTTACTGAACTAGCCCTTTAAACACAACCATTGTCAACCACACTGTAGTTGTAGATAAAGACCCAGCAGTGGGGTGCAGCATCATGTCTGTACTATGTACTAACCATTACTTATTGATGGTGTCACCTAGTCAATTAAATCACACCGGGAGTGTGGTGGCATCTATCTGGGGGGCTATGGGTTGGGTAAAGTTCACAGGGCACCATGGTACCATGGTAACATGTAGGTCACTACCGTTGCTAAGGGAGGAGCTACTTTATTGTTTCCAGGAAGTGGCATAGCCATCCCTGCTACATGAAACGCCTTGCAAGATGTCATTATTAATCTATTATGAATGATTATGAGGCCTTACATTTAATACCTAGAAATAATATATTATCTAAGCAATTTACTAAATATTTATTATCTGCACATTGTCCACATGAATGAATGCTGTTTTTATGTAAGAATGATTGCATATGTGAATGAATTAATGTATGTACGGAAGATACAGATGTATATTTGACAGTGTATTGTATAGACTCACTTTACAAGCACAGCTCTGTATATAAAATATATGTGTTTATATTTTATTTATACCTGCACACTGTAACCTTTTGTTCAAACTTAGGAGGGTGTATTTAGTTTTTAGCCTATCCAAACCCTTTTTTCATCATGTGTTTTATTTGTCATAATAAAGCCCACCTTGTCTTTCTCTACCTACATTTTAGTTTAGGGAAATGCACATTGTGCCTTAATGGTCATATAATCATAAATATGTCTCACTGGGTTTGCTTCTGAAATAAATAGATTTGACATAAGAAACACTCTCCTACTTTGTCTCTGTCTTTCTCTTTGTCTCGTCTACGAGTCCTTTTCTCCCTTCTAACTTAACCTCTATGGGATCGGTGTCCTGTATACGGGACTGTTGAGCTAACGTTGTCACGTTCGTTCATCGACGGGTCAGACCAAGGCGCAGCGTGATATGCATACATGTTTATTTAAACTTAATAAACACAACGACAAAACAATAAACGAAACGTGAAGTCCAAGGTAGACACAAACAACATACCTTTCACGGAACAAGAGCCCACAACCCACTAGTGCCAATAGGCTGCCTAAGTATGGCCCCCAATCAGAGACAACAAGCGACAGCTGCCTCTGATTGGGAACCACACCGGCCAACATAGATCTAGACCTACTGAACAGGCCGGACCGGGCTGGCGACGCGCACCACTGGCTTGGTGCGAGGGGCAGGAACAGGCCGGACCGGGCTGGTGACGCGCACCACTGGCTTGGTGCGAGGGACAGGAACCGGCCGGACCGGGCTGGCGACGCGCACCACTGGCTTGGTGCGAGGGGCAGGAACAGGCCGGGCCGGGCTGGCGACGCGCACCACTGGCTTGGTGCGAGGGACAGGAACAGGCCGGACCGGGCTGGCGACGCGCACCACTGGCTTGGTGCGAGGGACAGGAACAGGCCGGACCGGGCTGGCGACGCGCACCACTGGCTTGGTGCGAGGGGCAGGAACGGGTCGGGCCGTACTGGGAACACGCGCCACTGGCTTAGTGCGGGAAGCAGGAACGGGCCGGACCGGACTGGCGACACGCACCACTTCCTTGGTGCGAGGAGCGGGACTGGGTTCCTTTATTAACCCCCGCTCCTTCTGCTGCCTAACCAGCTCTTCTCGCCGTGCCTCTACACTTTCCTTCTCCCTTATAGCCTCCTGTAGCGCCTCCCTCTGACCGACTAACTCCTGCTCCCTCTGAACCAATAGCCCCCGTAACATGGTGGCCTCCTCTCCTAACCTGCAGATCCGCCCTGTCGCAGCCTCCTGCTGCCTTGTCGTCCACACCGTGTGCCCCCCAAATTTTTTTTATTGGGGTTGCCTCTCGGGTCTCCGTTGTCGGCACTCCTACTCCTCCGGGAGCCCCCACGAGTTAGGGAACAGAAACTCGTCGTCGTCGTCATCCTCCGACTCCTCAGTACAATACTGTTCCCACTCCTCTTCCCAAGGTCGTAGGGACCCAAACTGAAAACCAACTGGGTGCAGTGGTCGGGGCTCTTCTCTCACGCTCCCCGACCACCCCTTTAGCCCCCCAAATTTTTTTTATTGGGGCTGCTTCTCGGGCCTCCTCCTCGGCCGGCTTCCGTGTTGCCGTTGCTCCTCTCCTGCCTGGGCATCTACCTTCGCCCATGGCCCTTTCCCCGCGAATATCTCTTCCCATGACCACAATTTGCCCACCTGTGACATGGCAATTCGCTCTTCCTGGGCACGCTGCTTGGTCCTTATTTGGTGGGATCTTCTGTCACGTTCGTTCATCGACGGGTCAGACCAAGGCGCAGCGTGATATGCATACATGTTTATTTAAACGTAATAAACACAACGACAAAACAATAAACGAAACGAAATGTGAAGTCCAAGGTAGACACAAACAACATACCACAACCCACTAGTGCCAATAGGCTGCCTAAGTATGGTCCCCAATCAGAGACAACGAGCGACAGCTGCCTCTGATTGGGAACCACACCGGCCAACATAGATCTAGACCTACTAGATCTAAACATAGAAAATACAACATAGAATATACACACCCTGACTCAACATATAAGCGTCCTCTGCGTCAGGGCGTGACAAACGTGCGCTAATGTGATTAGCATGACTGTTGTTAGTAACAGCAAACTTTCCAGGACATAGACATGTCTTATATGGGCAGAAAGCTTAAATTCTTGTTAATCTAACCGCACTGTCCAATTTACAGTAGCTATTACAGTGAAAAAAATACCCTGCTATTGTTTGAGGAGAGTGCACAACAACAAAAAACGTATTACAGCAACTGGTTTGATACATTCACCTCTGAAGGTAAATAATGTATTTACATTCAGTAATATTGCTCTGATATGTCATCTTGAGGGTCCCAGAGATAAAATGTAGCATAGTTTTGTTTGATAAAATCCATTTTTATATTCAAATGTAGGAACTGGGTTCTACAGTTTGAACCCTTGTTGTCTCTGGCTCCACACCCACCCTGCCCGGCCATCTAGATGTATGAAAGTTAGTGTATAAGCTAATGATCCATCATGTATGACATTCCTGGGAGTGTGTAAACTTACATTTTGTATTACCATATCAGTTTTGTATGTTCTCTATAGTTATGTACTTGAAAATGTATCAATTGACCAATTCTGCTCATTTGGGCAGACTTGATACAAAATAGTGCAGTATTGCAATGCTTCACAGGATCACACACACGCCTAAACTGCAATATTATATTGTGGCCTTTCTCTTGCATTTCAAATATGTTTTTTTGTTTGTATTCTCTTTTACCAGATCTAATGTGTTATATTCGCCTACATTAATTTCACATCAAGAATATGCATATCCTTGCTTCAGGTCCTGAGCTACAGGCAGTTAGATTTGGGTAAGTCATTTTAGGCGAAAATTTGAAAAAAAGGGTCTGATCCTCAAGAGGTTAAACGCAACCCATATATCAACCCCTTACCAACAGACCTACCCCCCAACCCCCAACTCTGCCACCCCCCCATCTCTCTCTCTCTCTCTCTCTCTCTCTCTCTCTCTCTCTCTCTCTCTCTAAAATTAGTACATTGCTCATCCCAGTTGCACTGCAGAGGTTGAGAAACCTTATCCATGAATGTAAACTATGTACCTCACCCCCACCCTACCCTCACCCTTACCCCCACGTGCACCTGCACCCCCACCTCTCCCAACCCTACTTTCTCTCCTGTCTCTAGGGGAGCACCTCTTCCCAAGCCCCCACCCCTGTTGCCCTCACCCCATTGGCCCAGAGGTGGTGTACTAGGTCAGAAGGGTCCTAGAACCTCCTTCCATGTCTGTTCCCTTCCTTCTAGACCCCCTATGCCCTAATTGTCCAAGGGGGGTACAGATACCACTAACACACATACACTCTAGCCCTCCACTGCTCCCAGTGAGCAGAAACTGAAACCAGTGCTGACACATGACACTGTGTTCAGAAAGTATATATAGCTGTTTAATGGTTCTGCACAGCCTCTTTGACGAGAGCAATAGAAGCACTGCTGGCTTGTACCAGGTGTAAGTGAACCTCAGACTGCAGACTGGGAAATAGGAGACTTGTAGTATCACCACCTCTTTTCCTGGTTAAATAAAGTTAAATAAATAAAGTATCAAGTATTATTACAAACTTCAATGCATTTCCATGTTTTTGTTTGTATGCATGTGTGTGTGTGTGTGTGTGTGTGTGTTATCATGCATTGGTTGGACATACAGTGCATTCGGGAAAGTATTCAGAGTCCTTGACTTTTTCCACATTTTGTTACTTTACAACCTTATTCTAAAATTGATTAAATTGTTTTCCCCCCGTATCAATCTACACAAAATACCCCATAATGACAAAGCAAAAACAGGTTTGTAGAAATTTTTGCAAATGTATAAAAAATATACAACGGAAATATCACATTTACAGAAGCATTCAGAACCTTTACTCTGTACTTTGTTGAAACACCTTTGGCAGCAATTACAGCCTTGAGTCTTCTTGGGTATGACGCTAAAAGCTTGGCACACCTGTATTTAAGGAGTTTCTCTCATTCCTCTCTGCAGATCCTCTCAAGCTCTGTCAGGTTGGATGGGGAGCATTGCTGCACAGCGATTTTCAGGTCTCTCCAGAGATGTTAGATCGGTTCATGTCCGGGCTCTGGCTGTGCCATTCAAGGACATTCAGAGACTTGTCCCGAAGCCACTCCTGCATTGCCTTGGCTGTGTGCTTAGGGTCGCTGTCCTGTTGGAAGGTGAACCTTAGCCCCAGTCTGAGGTCCTGAGCGCTCTGGAGCAGGGTTTCATCAAGGATCTCTCTGTACTTTGCTCCATTCATCTTTGCCTCGATCCTGACTAGTCTCCCAGTCCCTGCCGCTGAAAAACATCCCCACAGCATGATGCTGCCACCACCATGCTTCACTGTATGGATGGCGCCAGGTTTCCTCCAGACGAGAAGCTTGGCATTCAGGCCAAAGAGTTCAATCTTGGTTTCATCAGACTAGAGAATCTTGTTTCTTTTGACAAACTCCAAGCGGGCTGTCATGTGCCTTTTGCTGAGGAGTGGCTTCCGTCTGGCCACTCCACCATAAAGGCCTGACTGGTGGAGGCTCTGTCGTAGCCGGCCGCGACCGGGAGACCCATGGGGCGGCGCACAATTGGCCCAGCGTCGTCCAGGGTACGGGAGGGGAATGGCCGGCAGGGATGTAGCTCAGTTGGTAGAGCATGGCGTTTGCAACGCCAGGGTTGTGGGTTCGATTCCCACGGGGGGCCAGTATGAAAAATAAAAGAATGTATGCACTCACTAACTGTAAGTCGCTCTGGATAAGAGCGTCTGCTAAATGACGTAAATGTAAATGTGGAGTGCTGCAGAGATGGTTGTCCTTCTGGAAGGTTCTCCCATCTCCACAGAGGATCTCTGTGCCTTGACACAATCCTGTCTCGGAGCTCTACGGACAATTCCTTCGACCTCATGGCTTGGTTTTTGCTCTGACATGCACTGTCAACAGTGGGACCTTATATAGACAGGTTTTCTAAATATAGACTTATATAGACAGCCTTTCCAAATCATGTCCAATCAATTGAATTTACCACAGGTAGACTCCAATCAAGTTGTAGAAACATCTCAAGGATGATCAATGGAAACAGGATGCACCTGAGCTCAATTTTGAGTCTCATAGTGAAGGGTCTGAGTACTTAAGGTATTTAAATAAGGTATTTCAGTTTTTATTTTTTATAAATTTGCAAAAATGTCTAAAAACCTGTTTTCGCTTTATGGTGTCATTATGGGTTATTGTGTGTAGATTGCTGAGGAAAATGTGTTATTTAATTCATTTTAGAATAAGGCTGTAATGTAACAAAATGTGGAAAAAGTCAAGGGGTCTGAATACTTTCCGAAGGCACTGTATACTGTAGAAATGCCTCTGTGGCCCAGCTGGTAGGGGGCAGTATAGAGCCCAATTCTCACAGCAGTGCCTCCCCATAGTGGACTGTCCCATCGTGGTCACATTCATTAACAGGATAGTGCACTCTATAGTGCAAATTATATTTAGTCAGATGTTTTCATACCTTCAACATACTGTAAGTGGTCTAAAGTTGTGTCAAGTCTCTCTCTTGCTCTTTCTCTCTCTCTTTCTCTCTCTCTCTCTCTCCCTCTCTCTCTCTCTCATTCCCTCCATCTCTCTCTCTCTCTCTCTCTCTCTCTCTCTCTCTGTCATTCCCTCCATCTCTCTCTCTCTCCATCCCTTGATCATCTCATACTGTCATTCCTTTAAAGAAAAAAATTAATCAGTCTATAAATCAGTCTGTTATTGTTTTTTTTATAAACTTCGTGCAATACAGTGTTTGAGTTTATCACACATTTAGATAAACCATAATCATTGTGTCTATTATCTATTCTCAACTACATACTATTCATATTGCCCACATAAATGCTATCTGTGTGCAGTTTTGTCACATTATTCTTTTTTTTCTCAAATGAAATAAAAAAGAAGAAACTAAAATGAAAAAGAATGTGGAAGCGTCAGGTGGTTTCATTTCCTTTCCCCAGTCTGTAATGTTGCGGGGTGTCCAATATTGTCCATCCCAGTGCTGCCATCACTCCAGACAATAAATGAGGTGCAGGAGAGTGTTTACACGTGTATACATTCTCATCAACATAAACAGAAGGGGTCAAAAGGTCAAAGTTCAGGGGTCACTTGGGAAGCACAGTGAGAGTTTTTTCTTTGGGGGTGGGGTTTGGATGTTCGTCTTCATGGTGATTCTGTCATGGGTCATGTGACAGAGGAGGGTAAACACTGAAGACATGCCCAAAAAAGGGCAGGGCAGGGCGGGGCCAAGCTAGGGTGGGGCAGGGCAGGGTGGGGTGGGGAGAGCCAGCGCACCCCATGAGAACTGGGGGGTAGCCTGTACCCATACAGAGGATGAAAAACACATCACCCTCCCCTCCCCTTCCCAAAATACACACCCTGTTTTCATACCAGAGTTCCTAAAGAAAGTATCTATAGAGTTTGCAAATATAGGTATGCGTTAATTACAATGTACATGTTTCATTTCAAAAGTTTTCTCTATAGTGTATTTTAAGTTTTTCATTGTCAATGTCATTTTAATGATGGCTGGATAGCATGTCTGTTGTGTCTGTTCTCGAGAATCATTTTGGGTCTCTCGCTCTAGAAAATAATGAATAACTGTTTTTCTTCTTCTCTCCAGGCAACAAGCCTCACCTGTTTCTCTGTACAAATATATCAATTTCTCTTCTTCTCTCCTCAAGACAGAGGTTTCTGTTAATGCCCAGAAAACAAACATCTTCAAAACGACTACAGCTACGACTACTGCTAACATTGATTAGAATGGAACTCCGACTAACATAGGCCCATAGAAAACAGACTCATAATAACACTGAAGTTGCTCAGTCGCCTCAGTCACTCACTTATTGTATCCTTCAGTTACAATATTGGAAGACAATGTACAGTATTCACACAACTTTTTTTAACTGTGTGTTAATACCTAGGGGTAGAAAATCTAAATAGACTTTAAAAATAAATTAACTGATCTCCACCAAAAAACAAGTTGTAATAATAATAAAATAATAATAATAATAATAAGACATTATATATTATTATTATTATTATTATATAATAATAATAATATACAGTACCAGTCAAATGTTTGGACACACCTACTCATTCAAGGGTTTTTCTTTATTTTTTATTATTTTCTACATTGTAGAATAATAGTGAAGACATCAAAACTATGAAATAGCACAAATGGAATCATGTAGTAACCAAAAAAGTGTTAAACAAATGAAAATATATTTTATATTTGAGATTCTTCAAAGTAGCCACCCTTTGCCTTGATGACAGCTTTGCACACTCTTGGCATTCTCTCAACCAGCTTCATGAGGTAGTCACCTGGAATGCATTTCAATTAACAGGTGTGCCTTCTTAAAAGTTAATTTGTGGAATTTATTTCCTTCTTAATGCATTTGAGCCAATCAGTTGTGTTGTGACAAGGTAGGGGTGGTATACAGAAGATAGCCCTATTTGGTAAAAGACCAAGCCCATATTATGGCAAGAACAGCTCAAATAAGCAAAGAGAAACAACAGTCCATCATTACTTTAAGACATGAAGGTCAGTCAATACGGAACATTTCAAGAGCTTTGAACGTTTCTTCAAGCGCAGTCGCAAAAACCATCAAGCGCTATGATGAAACTGGTTCTCATGAGGACCGCCACAGGAAAGGAAGACCCAGAGTTACCTCTGCTGCAGAGGATAAATTCATTAGAGTTAACTGCACCTCAGATTACAGCCCAAATAAATGCTTCACATAGTTCAAGTAACAGACACATCTCAACATCAACTGTTCAGAGGAGACTGTGTGAATCAGGACTTCATGGTTGCTTCAAAGAAACCACTACTAAAGGACACCAATAATAAGAAGAGACTTGCTTGGGCCAAGAAACACAAGCAATGGACATTAGACCAGTGGAAATCTGTCCTTTGGTCTGATGAGTCCAAATGTGAGATTTTTGGTTCCAAATGCTGTGTCTTTGTGAGACGCAGAGTAGGTGAACGGATGATCTCCGCATGTGTGGTTCCCACCATGAAGCATGCAGGAGGTGGTGTGATGGTGTGGGGGTGCTTTGCTGGTGACACTGTCTGTGATTTAGAATTCAAGGCACAGCATTCTGCAGCGATATGCCATCTCATCTGGTTTGTGCTTAGTGGGACTATCATTTGTTTTTCAACAGGACAATGACCCAAAACACACCTCCAGGTTGTGTAAGGGCTATTTGACCAATAAGGAAAATTATGGAGTGCTGCATCAGATGACCTGGCTTCCACAATCAGCCAACCTCAACCCAATTGAGATGGTTTGGGATGAGTTGGACCGCAGAGTGATGGAAAAGCAGCCAACAAGTGCTCAGCATATGTGGGAACTCCTTCAAGACTGTTGGAAAAGCATTCCTCATGAAGCTGGTTGAGATAATGCCAAGAGTGTGCAAAGCTGTCATCAAGGCAAAGGGAGGCTACTTTGAAGAATCTCAAATATAAAATATATTTTGATTTGTTTAACACTTTTTTGGTTACTACATGATTCCATATGTGTTATTTCATAGTTTTGATGTCTTCACTATTATTATACAATGTAGAAAATAGTAAAAATAAAGAAAAACTCTTGATGAGTAGGAGTGTCCAAACTTTTGACTGGTACTGTAAATCATAATACACACTCTCATCTTCTCATGCTTGACACCAATGACACAGTTACACAGCCCACTGATCATACCAGCGTGTCTGTGTTTAGAAATTCACAGTAAACGTCGTCAGGATCCAAAATCAGAGTGAAAATCATACAAATCATATCATCATTCTAAAACGATAGCATTGCAAACAGAGCTAGCTCGTAATAACGCTAATAATAATCACAACAAGTGATGTCAAATATTATCTCGTTAAATTAGCGTTAGTATTGCACTAAAGAAAGTGGATTGTTTTAAATAGTAGCCCAAGGTTAATCGCGTTGGATCATTAACAAAATAAATCATTTCTAGTGCGTTAAAATAGTAAAATAGCTTTGTTGTGAAAGTTCATTATTGTTGTAATTATCACGTTCTGTTATTACTTGTTTTCTTTTGTTTCTCAGTGAGATTCTGTAGACTACTTCTAACAGTGAAAATTATGGGAGAGATCTAGCACTCCCTCATTTTCTCTCTCTCTTCTCTCCATTCCTTTATCCCAATCCCCCTCTCTATATATCTCTCCCTCTCTTCCTTCCCTGTGTACCCTCCCTCTCTCCCTCTCTCCCTCCTCTCTACACGGGTGTTGTCTTCCTGTTGAGTGTATTGGAGTTGCTCTCTCTATCTCCCTTCAGCCTGTCCAGCGTTCCCATCCCTCGTTCTCTCTCCACCGTGGACGAGGAGAAGGGTGGGGGCCCCGAGCCCACCGAGTTGCCCATGGGCGCGTTGGAGTTGGACGAATTCTGGGACAGTGAGGGGTTGTGGGATTTCAGAGAGGGTAGCGTACCGCTCATCATCACTCCCCCCTCCACCCCCTCCTCCCCCTCCTCCCCCGTCCGTGGGGAAGCAGTTGTGGAGCTGGTAGAGGGTGGCGCGGTCCACGGTGCCGTACATGGGGGGCAGGCCAGCCAGCTTGGGGTCGCGGGACAGCGTGTAGAGGGAGATGTCGCCCCCCGCCAGGGTGGTGTGGGAGCGAGAGTGAGGGTTGGGCAGCGTGGACACAGACATGGGCCCCTGGGAGAGCATGGCCGAGGGGGGCAGACCAAAGTTCTTCCCCCCACCTCCCCCCACCGGCGAGGGGTCTCGGGAGCGTGAGGGGTCGGTGGAGCGGGATGAAGAGCGGGAGCGACGGCGGAAGCGGTAGCTGGGTAGGCGGAGCATGGCGTGCGTGGTCCCCTTGAAGATGTCAGTGCGCGAGCGGCAGCGAAGCTCCTTGTTCTTTTCTATGTAGATGTTGACGGCCAGAACACCCACCATCTCAGCCATGATGAAGGACAGGCCTCCGAAGTAGAAGGACCAGCCGTAACTGTACTGCCACTTCTTGTCCTCGTCCTTCTTAGGGGAGATGTCTCCCAGCGCTGCAGAGATGTACACGATCACACCGATGATGTTGCTCAGACCTGGGGGAGACAGGGGATAGATGAGGATACACAAACATGCACTCACACAGATGAGGATATATACACGCACACACACACAGGTGAGGATACACACACACACTCTCTCTCTGTCATGTTACCCAGAGCAGGAGAGCAGGAGGAAAGACATCACTTTACATCAACAGAACATAAACATATGTATAGATACTAAGAGACTAACATAGACACACAGAGAGACACACAGGCACACAGACACACATAACTAATCACAGACAGACACATAGACAGACAGACATACATACAGACACACAGACACACAGAGAGACACACAGAGAGACACACAAACACAGAGAGACACATAGACACACAGGCACACAGACACACATAACTAATCACAGACAGACACATAGACAGACAGACATACATACAGACACACAGACACACAGAGAGACACACAGAGAGACACACAGACACACAGAGAGACACATAGACACACAGACACACAGAGAGACACACAGGCACACAGAGAGACACATAGACACACAGACACACAGAGAGACACATAGACACACAGACACACAGAGAGACACACAGACAGACAGAGAGACACACAGGCACACAGACACACAGAGAGACACACAGGCACACAGACACACAGGCACACAGAGAGACACCCAGACAGACACATAGACAGACAGACAGACATACATACAGACACACACAGACACACACACAAGACACACAGACAGACACACAGACAGACACACAGACACACAGACAGACACACAGACAGACACACAGACAGGTCTGACAGGAGTTAGTTAGTGTACCTGCAGCCACAAAGAGAATGCCTGCTCCCAGGACGATGTTCCTCTTGTGCTTATAGAAACGACTGAGACCGATACACACCCCTCCCATCAACAGCAGGATAGCACTGAGGATAGGGAAGATGTTGGAAGCCCTGACCATACCTACAGTGAGGGACAGGGGAGAGTGACAGGACAGTGACGGGGAAAGCGAGGGGAAGTGAGAGAGAACACGTGAGAGAGAAGAAGATAGAGATAAAGGGAGAGGGAGGGGAAAGAGAAAAGGTAAAAGTCGCAGATAGAATCAGAGAGGGAGAGGATAAGAAATAAACAGCTGTATTCTGGTGTGAGCAAATGAATTACCATGTGGCCAAGCTAGTGAGTGTATAATTGTATCAGCTCTTTCCCAAGAGGCATCAACTCTGATACCCCCCAGGACAGACACACACGCACACGCACCCATCTAGGACATAGGCCAGAAGACAGAAATGCCAAAGTAAATGCCAGCCAAATGCCGAGGCTATATGGTAAACAGTACACAGTCTTCTCCTGCTGACTTGTGGGGCAGGCACACGTAGTGTGGCACGGAACACCCACACAGGCGTGGCCCGGGGGAACACCCGTGAACTAGGGCAGCACATTATCCCTTGACTTCATACAAACACTAACATGTTTAATTCAAACACAGCTTATTTTGCTCCGGTCTTCAGGAATGAGATCTAACTACTCTATGTGGTCTGAGGCTTCTGTAAAAAGTGGTTTACAGTTGTGGATGAGTTACGGCTGTGTATCAGTTATGGGGAGCTCCCGTCCTGGGGGTGGCAACAGTGTGTGCTGGGTTTTGTTCCAGCCCTACCCAACACACCTTTTAATTTTAGTCCCCAATTACATGAATCAGGTATATTAGAGCTGAATCAGGTATATTAGAGTTGAATCAGGTATATTAGAGCTGAATCAGGTATATTAGAGCTGGGCTGGAACAAAAGCCTGCACCTCCACCTCAGGTCCATCAGGTGTTGACTTACGTAGAACATACTCAGGCCCGTCATGGTCAAAGTCAGCATCCTCAGGGAAGTGGTTGATCTGAGAACATACTCCCCTCTTCACCCCTGAGAGAGAGAGAGAGAGAGAGGGGGGAGGGGGTTAGAACAGAATACACACACACACACTATCTCACACACACACATTGACACACACACACGCACGCTAGCACGCACACACACACACACACACTTTAACTTTCTACATCATCACATGCATCAACTCAACTCCACAGAGATTCATCAGAAAAAGAAACAGCAGTTTATATTAGCACATAAAAAGAGAGCAAGAGAGAAAGAGGGAGAGAAAAAATGCATGAGAGAGAGAGAAACTGCAGACTGGTTGTGCCTCAGGTTCTGTCCTGTCATTGTTCACCCTTCCCAGGTAGGTCTGAGGACAGAACAGTACGCATCCCCAACACAAAACATCCCCACTCTCTGCTCTTAGGAACTGATTCTAGATCAGATGTCCTTGCCCCAGCCCTCACCATAACCATTAGGAAAACAAAACAACCAAAACTGGTCCTGGGTCTGTGGTTAAGGTCATGCAGTATCTCATTAGTATCACACTCACATACACTACCGGTCAAAAGTAATAATAATAATAATAAGACATTATATATTATTATTACTATTATATAATAATAATTAAATCATATACAGTACCAGTCAAAAGTTTGGACACACCTACTCATTCAAGGGTTTTACTTTATTTTTACTATTTTCTACAATGTAGAATAATAGTGAAGACATCAACACTATGAAATAACACATATGGAATGATGTAGTAACCAAAAAAGTGTTAAAGAAATCGCCTTGATGACAGCTTTGCACATTCTTGGCATTCTCTCAACCAGCTTCATGAGGTAGTCACCTGGAATGCTTGTCAATTAAAAAGGTGTGCCTTCTTAAAAGTTAATTTGTGGAATTTATTTCCTTCTTAATGCGTTTGAGCCAATCAGTTGTGTTGTGACAAGGTGTCACGCCCTGACTCTGGGGACTCTTATTTGTTGAGTCAGGGTGTGACTTTCTTTGTTGTGATTGTCTATGTTGTAATTTCTAGTATGTGTATTTCTATGTTGGCCGGGGTGGTTCCCAATCAGGGGCAGCTGTCGCTCGTTGTCTCTGATTGGGGACCATACTTAGGCAGCCTATTGGCACTAGTGGGTTGTGGGATCTTGTTCCGTGTTAGGAATGTTGTTTGTGTACCTTGGACTTCACGTTTCGTTTCTTGTTTTGTCGTTGTGTTTATAAGTCAAATAAACATGTATGCATATCACGCTGCGCCTTGGTCTGATCCGTTCATGAACAAACGTGACACAAGGTAGGTGTGGTATACAGAAGATAGCCCTATTTGGTAAAAGACCAAGTCCATATTACGGCAAGAACAGCTCAAATAAGCAAAGAGAAACGACAGTCCATCATTACTTTTAAGACATGAAGGTCAGTCAATACGGAACATTTCAAGAACTTTGAAAGTTTCTTCCAAGTGCAGTCGCAAAAACCATCAAGCGCTATGATGAAACTGGCTCTCATGTGGACTGCCACAGGAATGGAAGACCCATAGTTACCTCTGCTGCAGAGGATAAGTTCATTAGAGTTACCAGTCTCAGAAATTGCAGCCCAAATAAATGCTTCACAGAGTTCAAGTAACAGACACATCTCAACAATAACTGTTCAGAGGAGACTGTGAGAATCAGGCCTTCATGGTCAAATTGCTGCAAAGAAACCACTACTAAAGGACACCAATAAGAAGAAGAGTCTTGCTTGAGCCAAGAAACACGAGCAATGGACATTAGACCGGAGGAAATTTGTCCTTTGGTCTTGAGTCCAAATGTGAGATTTTTGGTTCCAACCGCCTTGTCTTTGTGAGACGCGGTGTGGGTGAATGGATGATCTCTGCATGTGTATTTCCCACTGTAAAGCATGAAGGAGGAGATGTTATGGTGTGAGGTTGCTTTGCTGGTGACACTGTCTGTGATTTATTTAGAATTCACACTTAACCAGCATGGCTACCACAGCATTCTGCAGCGATACGCCATCCCATCTGGTTTGGGCTTAGTGGGACTATAGTTTGTTTTTCAACAGGACAATGACCCAACACACCTCCAGGCGGTGTAAGGGCTATTTTACCAAGAAGGAGAGTGATGGAGTGCTGCATCAGATGACCTGGCCTCCACAATCCCCCGACCTCAACCAAATTGAGATGGTTTGGGATGAGTCGGACCGCAGAGGGAAGGAAAAGTAGCCAACAAGTGCTCAGCATATGTGGGAACTCCTTCAAGACTGTTGGAAAAGCATTCCAGGTGAAGCTGGTTGAGATAATGCCAAGAGTGTGCAAAGCTTTCATCAAGGCAAAGAGTGGCTATTTGAAGAATCTCAAATATAAAAAATATTTTGATTTGGTTAACACTTTTTTGGTTACTACATGATTCCATATGTGTTATTTCATAGTTTTGATGTCTTCACTATTATTCTACAATGTAGAAAATAGTAAAAATAAAGAAAAACCCTTGAATGAGTAGGTGTTCTATAACTTTTGACCGGTAGTGTACATACATTATTTCTTATCAGGTGCTGGATAGAAAAATACTAATTGAATGTAGATAGGGTAATAGAATATATGTATGTATAGTTCTAATAAGAAAGGTTTTATTTAGAGTGAACCACAGCTACCAATATTCACTTTAAAATAGTCACTTTTTAGGAGCACTTCACTGTGGTCCTTTCTGAATAAGAGCATGCAGTAACTGAATGAACACACTAACTCACACCCACACACACCCCAACACAGAGAGCCATCCATACAGGCAGACAGGCAGACAGATAGCTACCCGCTGGGGTCTTGTGGCTCTATTGCAGACAGACAGATGGACGAACGGATGCACGGTGATGACAGCACACGACTGGTGCTGGCTGATGGATGGATTGTGAGAGAGTTGGAGTGATGGAATGATGAGACACAGATGGAGGAGGGAGAGACGGACAGATGTGGGGTGAGCTTGTCTCTTTCTCATAGTTCTTTTATTTCCATGGTTGTCGTCTGTAAAGAGATGGGGGCACAGAAGGGAAGGGTGTCAGCTAAACCCCCTGATAGACGCCATTTTGGCTCTAAACCAGGAAGTAGTTCCCCATTGACACAGATCTAGGATCAGTTAACCCTCTCTCCCAATCTTAACCATAACCATTAGGTGTGAGAACCAGTGTCTAGGGGGCAATTACTGTACAGCTGTACTTGCTACTCCTCAAACAGCTGGCTAGAGCCAAAATGACCTGAGTTTCACTCACTTCCATTCACTTACCTGGAAACTCTGTAAGAAATGTACTGGAGGGTGAAACTGACCTACATGAGCAAGAGAGTCTGCCTCTAAGTACTGCCCCAAGGAACAGTGCTCTCTATTTGAACCATCATCACAACAACATCAAATCTAAAGCATCAACACTCATACCACTGCTGTTGATGGGTGGCTTGTCTGATGCCACTCACATAAAACTCTTGCCCTCCTTTGGTTTCAGTTGAATATTTTAGTGTTTGCAGCCCACAATGTGATGTTAGGGACCTTTGACTAAAAGCTAAGGGAGAGACTGTACTGACCTACTGGTATTTTGCCTAGTTAAAAAAAGGTCAAAATGTAAATAAATAAAATATCAGGAATCCTCTCAACCTGCCGAATCAGAGAATACTCCATCCACTCACTTCTTCAGCCCCTAACACAGCAATGTGTGCCACCCACCCGCAGGCTTAAATCTTTTAGAGCCAATATGTCCTCTGTTTCCACTGCACCTACACTTCACTGCATCACTGCACGGCTTCTGAGCACCCATCTTGGCTCAATACTCTACGGACATCAAGGATACTTGACCTCTAAGCCATACCAAAGAACTGAAGGCTCCACTGCAGCGCAGAGAGAAAGAGAGGAGAGAGAGAGAGAGAGAGAGAGAGAGAGAGAGAGAGAGAGAGAGAGAGAGAGAGAGAGAGAGAGAGAGAGAGAGAGAGAGAGGGAGAGAGAGAAAAAAAGAAAGAGAGAGAGAGACAGAGAGCGGGGAGGGCAGAGAGAGTAAAGAGGGAGAGAGCAGAGAGAGAGGCAGAGAAAGAGAGAGGCAGTGAGAGTGTGTGAAAGAGAGAGGCAGAGAGAGAGAGAGAGGGGGCAGAGAGAGCGAGAGAGGCAGAGAGAGTGTGAGAGCGAGCGAGCGAGAGAGAGAGAGAGAGAGAGAGAGGGGCAGAGAGAGAGAGGCAGAGAGAGATGACAGAGGGAGAGAGTGAGAAGAGAGAGAGCAGAGAGAGGGAGGGAGAGAGAGAGGGCAGAGAGAGTAAAGAGAGAGAGCAGAGAGAGAGAGAGAGAGCGCAGAGAGAGAGTGAGAGCAAGAGAGCGAGCGAGAGAGAGAGAGGGGGGGGGGCACTGCAGCAATGCTGCGAGGGCTGGGGCTTATCTCTAATTGGCTGCTTTGTTATCAGGAAGCTTAGAGATGAGGACAAATGAGCTTTGCACAATGACCAGGCCAAGGATGGGACTTACCCTGCATGCCTTACAGAGGAGTAGTGACAGGACTACAAACATACGGCAGCTAGCTAACACCATTCATTCAGCTTCAACTACTGTCCTATCCAGTCCTGTCCTGTCTTCCTCCTTCTGAAGCCTGTATGTCAGAGCAGCAGTTTAATGTATTATAAATTAGCTGCTTGTGCCGCAGTGACTGAGTGGAGATGGCGTGATGGCTACTGTCATTTTCAGAGAACCCGTCAGCTAAATCACTGGGCTAATGCAGGGTTGGGCAACCGGGTCTGCAGTGTGTGTGTAGGGCCAGCTGTAATGCACCTGATTCAGCTTATCAAAGGCTTGATGGATCTAGTTGAATCAGGCGAGGCTTGAACACAACCTGTACCCATAGTAGCTTTCCAACACATGGTTGGTGAGCACAGTGATAGTGGGTGATAGCGTGTCAGGTCGGTTATAAAGTACAGACAGTGATTGAAGGAATGGGCTGAGATGAGAGGGGTTCTTTTCAGGTGATTTCAAAGACAAGTTCCTGATCTGCTGACACAATGGAAAATCAGGAATCCAACCATCGTATAAAGTACAGCTAGACCATTTGCTCCTGTTACCGACTTCACCACTGAAGTCATCCTTAGTTCAGGAATGAAGTGGTATCCTTATGACAAATTCATTTGAAGGGTAGAAATAACAATCTCCACAAACATGCAGTATTCATAGATAAAGTGTCTATAGTGTACTACAGTCCAGACCTCTTCCCTTTAACTTAATGTGAACCCACTCTAATGCTGTGTTGTTCATATGCTCCTTGTAAATCTGTAAACACAAACATCAGTTCACTGGGAAAGCCTAGGAAAGGGTTAAAAAAAAAGATGCTTCCAGCATTTCCATGTCAGATTTGTCCAAGTTTCAGATTTTCCAAGGAGCTCATAAACTCAGCATATGCATTGCTTCACATTATAATGACCTTTAAGGCAGCACTGCTGACTACATAATTCCACTGACATTTATGGTAACCATACCATCCATTCACTCTCATCTGACATGAAAACGACTGCACAAAATCATCTCTGAGCTTCACTGTAATGGAACCTCCATTCCCTTCAGTCCTTATTCCTTTCCATCTCACAAGACAGCAACACTGCAGGTAGAGCATTAGGACACAGACATGAGGTCTGCACTGGTATTGCATCAGATCCAAAATGGCCACAGTCCTTACTTTAATCATGCCAGCTATTACCAACTATTACCAACTATTACTATTACATTCAATATATTATCCATAGTATTTATGGTATGTAATTTCTGTAAAGCTGCAATATGTAACTTTTTTGGTGACCCGACCAAATTCACATAGAAATTTGAGTTATAGATATGTCATTCTCATTGAAAGCAAGTCTAAGAAGTGGTATATCTGTTCTATGTGTGCTATTTCTATGCTCTCCGTTCTTAAGTTTCATTTTTGAGTCTTTTACTTTCGGTTTTGTACACCAGCTTCAAACAGCTGAAAATACAATATTTTTTGGTTATGGAAAATATATTTCACAGCGGTTTAGATGGTACAATGATTCTCTACACTATACTTGCTTGTTTTGTCACATAAACTGAAATGAGGTGAACTATTAAAATTTTAGCAACCAGGAAATAGCGGAGCGATTTCTGCATAGTGCACCTTTAAATCTAGAATGGACATTAGGAAAAAAGGCTAAAATCGAACCAGGTCTAACTCATCCCCTCCAACATCACACACACACACACACACAGATACTCAGATCCACACATGTCTCCGTCTACCCTCTATCCATCTTCTCCCACTCCACCCACAGATCCAAGATGGCGTCTCGGTAGCATTTCAGTAGCCTACCTTCCAGGCAGCAGATCCTCCAGAGGCCAGAGTGGGTGAGGGCTCCGGGGTCCTTCTTGTCCTTGTTGTGAGGGTCGTCCGAGTGGTTGCGGGTGCTGTTGCAGATGGAGGCACGGGAGTACAGCCAATAGTCCGTCCCTATAGAAACCGTCATCAGGCAGAAGGCTGCAAAGGCCCCCACGGTGGTGAGGAGGATCTGGATCCCCTTCTCACAAACCATCCCTAGAGAGGAGGGCAGAGGAGGTGGAGAGAGAGAGAGCGGAGGGATGAGAAGTAGAGGTGGGACAAGGAGGAAGAAAAGTGAGAAAGAGAGAAGGGTTGAGAAAGGTGAAGGGAGGAAGAAGGAGAAGAAGTGCAGTAGAGACAAGAGAGGAAGAGGAGAGATAGAAAGAAAGAGGGAGAAAGAGGAGCGAGGGGAGTTGAGGGAGAGGGAGGAGAGAGAGAATGAAGGGATGGACAGGAAAAAGAGATGCAGAGAGAGTGAAAGAGAGAGCGAGAGAAAGAGGCAGAAAGAGAAAGAGAGAGAGAGAAAGAGGCAGAGAGAGAGAGGCAGAGAGAGAAAGAGGCAGAGAGAGAAAGAGGCAGAGAGAGAGAAAGAGGCAGAGAGAGAGAAAGAGGCAGAGAGAGAGAAAGAGGCAGAGGCAGAGAGAGAGAGAGAGAAAGAGGCAGAGAGAGAGAAAGAGGTAGAGAGAGGAGGTGTATAAATGGGTCTATGAGGTGTCCTTGGAAGGGGGGGTTGGACGACACTGCTGACTCGTCTTAACAGGAAGGAATTGATGGTGAACACAACAAATTACACTCTGAGAATCTCAATGTGCTCCATATTCATGACCATGACACCGCTCTCTCCCCCACATAATCAGCATAGACAGGGCTAGCGCGGAACACACAACACACTCACTGAGACAGAACCCACACACCGCATCAGATACAGCATATCAGAATACACAACACACACTGAGACAGAACACACACACACACTGCATCAGATACAGCATATCAGAATACACAACACACATTGAGACAGAACACACACACACACCGCATCAGATACAGCATATCAGAATACAAAGGCTTGAACACACACGGACGCACGGACACACGGACGCACGCACACACACAACACAATATACATAATCAAAGCGCAGCAACACAGCAGCAACAACACCACATACAGGAACAAAGCAAAGTTCCACAGTACATTCTGTGTTCATTGTCGCAAATCAATCAATCAATTAATCAATCAATCAATTAATCAATCAACCATTTAGGGCTATACAATCAATCTTATACAGTATCACTCTTCCTACCCTCTTCTTACCTCCAACATCACCATAATATACCCCTCTGGTCCCATTGTACATGAAGTGGTGCTACAACCTGTGCATTTACATGATGGTTACATAGGCCTCTGCCCAGTACCCTGCCCTGAAGTTTAGTCACTATTACTAGCCGGCTACCACCCGGTACTCAACCCTGCACCTTAGAGAATGCTGCCCTATGTACATAGTCATGGAACACTGGTCACTTTAGTAATGTTTATATACTGTTTTACCTACTTCATATGTATATACTGTATTCTAGTCAAGGCTCATCCTATATAACTACTGCTGTACACACATTTTCTATTCATATACTGTCCATAATGTCTATACACACCATCATATACATATATATTTCTATTCTGGACTCTGACATTGCTCGTTCTAATATTTCCATATTTCTTAATTCCTTTCTTTACATTTATGGGATTTGCCTGTATTGTTTTGTATTGTTAGGTATTACTGCACTGTTGGAGCTAGGAACATAAGCATTTCGCTACACCTGTGATAACACCTGCAACATTGTATTTTATTTTGCCTCATCTCACCCTAGTCTAGAACTGTTGTTCTAGATTACACATTTACCTCCATTGTGATTTCATTTGCAAATCCTTGAAATTGTGCAAAGCTCACATGGGTATAAGAGTTGTAAGTACTATTAACAATGTGTACCTGCAATGTAATTGCACTGTACCTGCCTATGTAATAACCATGTAAATACATAGATTATAGTGCCACTTGATGTAAAGTGGGACCCCATTGCGTTACCAAGGTATTCATTTACATCAGCTGAGGTAACACTTACCTGCCGCCGAGTTTCTATCCTTCGACTCCATTTTGAAATCTTTCTTTTCCTCGTTAATGAAGAATGCGCTGTCCCCTCAATCCGGACAGCATCCATCGACTGTTCTCACTCTCTCCCCCTCTCCTTCCTGCACTCGTTTTCTCTCTCTCTCTTTGGCCTCTATCTCGTTCTCTCTCTCTCTCACTGGAAAGATGTGCTGGTGGAGGCTCTTGGTTGTGATTGGATGCTCTCGCTCTGGTCCTCTTATTCACAGGAAGCAGTCACTGAGGAGGACATGGTAGTTGGGCTACTGCCAAAGAAAGACAAGAAGAAGAAGGAGAATGATAGAGTTAGTCGTTTATAGCTGTGCAGTTATGAGGCATGTTTATCTAAAAACTGTGATCATCTCAGAAAGTTCAGACTTCAGAGTTTTTGATTAGTCACGTTATAAAGTCACATTGTAAAAACCCAAATGACAGACAACTAAAACACTAAAAACTATCAATTCCACTCTCATACCAGTGTAACATAGAATATAATACAAATGGTGCATCTGAATATAGAGCTAGAAATAACAGATCTGGTCTGAATACGACGAGCGAGAAAGGGGGAGAGTAGAGAGGGCGAACTCTACATTGTTACCATGGCAACATTGAATTCCAAAGTCTGGATCAGCATAGAGCGAGGGACTGAGTGACAGATAGAGAGAGAGCGAGGGAGAGCGAGAGAGAGGGGCGACTGAGAGAGGGTGAGAGAGAGACAGAGAGTGAGAGAGGGTCAGAGAGAGAGCGAGAGAGAGAAGGACTGAGCGAGAGAGACTGAGAGAGGGACTGAGCAAGAGAGAGAAGGACTGAGAGAGTGTGAGCGAGAGAGAGAGAGAGAGAGGGACAGAGAGATTGTGAGAAAAATGGAATATTTGAAGTAGGTATACACGTTGCACTTCAAGCAGAAAAAATGTATAAGCGCTGTATCAACAGCCATCGTGTGTGACCACTGCAACATTCTGCCACGCACAAACACACACACACGCACTCACGCACACACACTCAGCTGAGGACAAGATGTAATCCCAGTGTGTAGAGCTTAAAAACACACAAAAAATCTAAACTGAAAAATGTGAAGAACAATAAAGGGGCACACATAATTTAGCAAACATAATTTAGCAAACATAATTTAGCCAACATAATGCAGCGCGGTCTAGATGCATTAATATTTGATGATGCAATATGGCACCCTGATCAAAATAGGTTACATCCTGTTTGGAGAGAAGGAGAGAGAGAGGGAGTGAGGGAGACAGAGACAGAGACAGAGAGAGAGAGAGAGGGGGGGGGGGGGGGGGGGGGGGGGGGGGGAGGGGGGAGGGTGGAGAGAGGTTTGATTGAGTTGAGGAGGGGAGAGAGGGAGGAATTTTGGGGATCTCTTTTTTCCTTTTTTTTTCTTTCTTCTCTTTTTTTCCTTCTTCGAGATCAATTTTAATCTCTCTCCCTTTCTCTTTTCCTCTTTTCTCCCTCTGGTCACTCTCTCTTCTACTCTTTCCCTCCTCTCTCTCGAGATATTATTCCCCTCTCCAGTGTCTCTGAACACACTTAGGTTATACCTTCTAAATGTTAATGTGGTACAATAACATTTAACTCTGTCCCTCTCTCTTTTTCTCTCCATCTGGTCCCTCCTTCACTGTCTTTGTCCCTCTCTCTCATAAAGTGAGCTGTCCGTCTCTCTGACATGACCATACATGTATTTTTAACTTTTAATCTAATACAACCAAAACTAAACCACTGCCTGCATCTATATTGCATATATGTGTACATGCATGCATGTGCGAATACATACTATATGTGTGTGTCCGTGGGTACATACAGACATGTTTATGCATGTGTATGTACAGTATGTACCTCCCCCTCTTTCATTGTGCTACAGATGACCCCCTCCCCTCTTTCATTGTGCTACAGATGACCCCCTCCCCTCTTTTATTGTGCTACAGATGACCCCCTCCCCTAGTGTGTCTGTCTCTCACTGGGTGGAAAATGCCTCTATCACAAACACTCTCTTCCTAACCACACTCAACTGTGACTGTGTCCAATTGCATTTGTGTGTGTGTGTGTGTGTGTGTTTGTGTGTGCGTGAGAGAGAGAGAGAGAGAGAGAGAGAGAGAGAGAGAGAGAGAGAGAGAGAGAGGTTGTGTGTGACCTTAAACACAAACCAAATGATTTTATTGAAGAAATTCCCTCTGTATCCCATGCCTCTGTGAGTATTTAGTGAATGACCTTCCTAACAAGCTGCTGAGTTATTCCCCTTAGCCCCAGCTCCCCTGTGTCTAGTGTCATTTAATTATGGGCAATCTTTTATTTCCCTTCAATAATTAAGATTGGAGGGAAGGGTGCGAGAGAGAGAGAGAGAGAGAGAGAGAGAGAGAGAGAGAGAGAGAGAGAGAGCGTGAGAGAGAGTTAGAGAGAGAGCGAGAGAGAGCGAGAGAGAGCGAGTCAGAGTGAGAGAGAGAGAGAGAGAGAGAGAGAGAGAGAGAGAGAGAGAGAGCGAGCACGAGAGAGAGAGAGAGAGAGAGAGAGCGTGAGAGACGGTTAGAGAGAGCGAGAGAAGAAGAAGAGCGGATTAGGCGGAGATCCGTTGAGAGAGAGGAGAGAGAGAGGAGAGAGAGAGAGAGAGAGAGAGAGAGAGAGAGAGAGAGAGAGAGAGAATCTGAAGTCAAATGTCTTCTGTTTGCTGATGATCTGGTACTTCTGTCACCAACCAAGGAGGGCCTACAGCAGCACCTAGATCTTCTGCACAGATTCTGTCAGACCTGGGCCCTGACAGTAAATCTCAGTAAGACAAAAATAATGGTGTTCCAAAAAAGGTCCAGTTGCCAGGACCACAAATACAAATTCCATCTAGACACCGTTGCCCTTGAGCACACAAAAAACTATACATACCTCGGCCTAAACATCAGCGCCACAGGTAACTTCCACAAAGCTGTGAACGATCTGAGAGACAAGGCAAGAAGGGCCTTCTATGCCATCAAAAGGAACTTAAAATTTGACATACCAATTAGGATCTGGCTAAAAATACTTGAATCAGTTATAGAACCCATTGCCCTTTATGGTTCTGAGGTCTGGGGTCCGCTCACCAACCAAGAATTCACAAAATGGGACAAACACCAAATTGAGACTCTGCATGCAGAATTCTGCAAAAACATCCTCCGTGTACAACGTAAAACACCAAATAATGCATGCAGAGCAGAATTAGGCCAATACCCGCTAATTATCAAAATCCAGAAAAGAGCCGTTAAATTCTATAACCACTTAAAAGGAAGCGATTCCCAAACCTTCCATAACAAAGCCATCACCTACAGAGAGATGAACTTGGAGAAGAGTCCCCTAAGTAAGTTTGTCCTGGGGCTCTGTTCACAAACACAAACAGACCCCACACAGCCACAGGACAACAACAACAACAACACAACTAGACCCAACCAAATCATGAGAAAACAAAAAGAGAATTACTTGACACATTGGAAAGAACAAACAAAAAAACAGAGCAAATTAGAATGCTATTTGGCCCTAAACAGAGAGTACACAGTGGCAGAATACCTGACCACTGTGACTGACCCAAACTTAAGGAAAGCTTTGACTATGTACAGACTCAGTGAGCATAGCCTTGCTATTGAGAAAGGTCGCCGTAGGCAGACCTGGCTCTCAAGAGAAGACAGGCTATGTGCACACTGCCCACAAAATGAGGTGGAAACTGAGCTGCACTTCCTAACCTCCTGCCAAATGTATGACCATATTAGAGACACATATTTCCCTCAGATTACAGCGATCCACAAAGAATTCGAAAACAAACCCAATTTTGATAAACTCCCTTATCTACTGGGTGAAAAACCACAGTGTGCCATCACAGCTGCAAGCTTTGTGACCTGTTGCCACAAGAAAAGGGCAACCAGTGAAGAACAAACACCATTGTAAATACAACCCATATTTATGTTTATTTATTTTCCCATTTAACTATTTGCACATTGTTACAACACTGTATATATACATAATATGACATTTGAAATGTCTTTATTCTTTTGAAACTTCTGAGTGTAATGTTTACTGTTAATATTTATTGTTTATTTCACTTTTGTTTACTATCTACTTCACTTGCTTTGGCAATGTTAACACACGTTTCCCATGCCAATAAAGCCCTTAAATTGAAATTGAATTGAATTGAGAGAGAGAGAGAGAGAGAAAGTGTGAGAGAGGTAGAATAAAATGTTGCTCTGTAGGTTCCATCATAATCCACCATATCGTTATAGACAAGACAAGTGTTGTCTTTGCATTTATGATCGAACAAGAATTAGTGATGGCTTCCTATGTGAAGTGCATCCTAATCGCACCACAGATCACCTTCACTAATATGAAAAGTAAATACATTAACCGCTCCCTCCAAAAACAGTCCCATAAATCACAATGGAGATGTGGATATTTTAGCAGCTGCAGCATTAGCAATTCATTGCACAGATCAACTACCAAATTGCTTGTTGAATAAATTATGATGGCTATGATAACTTTCTTCACACACGTGAAGTGCAGAAGGTCTACAGAAGTATGATCTTAATTTGATCACCCTGGTGCAGGAGAACTTTCCTGCAATGCAAGACATATAAAACGTATGTATTTGAAGTTTAAAAAGGTTTCTGAAGTTTGTAATTTCCACATTTCAGACTTGATTTTCCCTTAGGAAAAATGTATCAACCCCTACAAAAATGTCCATTAATTATAATCCACATAATAATTCACATTTCCTGTTGCTGCAGGATAATTTTCCTGCTGTAGCAAACTGGCTCAAATTAAGATTCTACATCTGTATGTGACTGGAGAGTGAACATGCTAGAGAACATTCTGTACAGTAAGGTGCCCAGCCTAAGCCTACACACCACAGTTAAACAGAGATTCACAGTCAGAGTTAGAGTTCAGAGTCAATTCGTGACCTTGGGACTATAAGGTTCTATCTGCGCAAAGCATACTGTAGTTCTGAGATAGTGAGCATCAAAGTTTTCACATCCCAGATCTCAGAACT